AGGGCTCCTCTAAATCGTGTAGACCACCTTAAAAATTCTCTTGAAGGGTTAATGGAATGTATTTAATTATTTTAATTCAACTACTTAAGCGTTACTTTCCCATGCTGAATAGTAGCAAAAGGAGTAATCTTGGTGACATTAACTATCCTCAATGAGATGATATTTGTAGTTTATACATTCAAACTGAATTGTTTGTAGACACCCCCATCACTGATATATTGCAAGGCAGGTATGTAGGCCCACTGTGTATAATATTCTCTATTAACAAGAGATGCTTCATTCATATTAAAGAAGGGACTGCTCTGTATGCATATCCCCTACATGGAAGGTACATACATGGCTTCTGATATGTCTGACAAATTATTCATGAGGAAATAAAAATGTGAGTTCCCATAAATGAGAAATCCATTTTCTTTTCTTTTAAATTACCTGAGTGAAAGCTTTCTGCTTTTAAGAGCCAAGACTTTCCCAACTCCAGAAAAAGGCAAACAGCACTCCAATATTATCCCTCAAAACCTCATTTTCGACATCAGAGTCAGGGTTTTTAATTTTTTTATAAATACTGCATTTATGAAACACTTGCTCTCTTTGTGTAGAATAACAGGATGCATTTCATTTCTATGGCTTGAAAAAGATATGCAGTGAGGAGTGCAGCTGTGCAGAAAACTATAGGATACGTGGTCAAACAACAAATGCACATATCTTTGAATGATGTAGAATTATATTAACTGCTTAGCAGATCTTCAGATCAGTTGCAATTGTTCATCTAAAACAAACAGTAAATAATTGCTCAAATATTACAAATATGGATGTCAAAATGTCCAGAAATGTATGTGTAGAGAGATATTAAAGATTTCTTTTGTACCCTTCCCCAGGATATCAAGACTTAATTTACAAATTCCAAAAATTCTTTCAGATTGCAGCCAGTGGTGTCAATACATACAATAACTCTGAAGCCTTGAATGGAATGAAGTTGATATTTCCATCACTAGTTTTGTGCACAAAGTAAGTTGTTTCCCTTGTAATATTCCTTTAGCCAGACTATTTGGTGCCAGCACAAGAACCAGTAGTTTTATCAGTGCAGCTATTCAGATACCTGACACAACCTTTAAGTGCTTTGCAGCAAAATCAAATATGAGTTCTTAGTAGCTACCAAAATGTTTTCTTTTTTCATTTTCTGGTATGTAAATTGCAGCCTTGAAGCTGTCACAGACTATCTTATGCAGTACTAGCAGTTAAAATTTGAACATTCAAAAAGTACATAACTTCAACTGGACCAGACGAATTATGTGATTGTATCCCAAGTGATATACATGCATCTTTTAAATACTCCAAAATATTGGAAGGACAGAATGCCTAATATTCAAAGTCTGCACCTATACCAGTTGCTCTTAAGTGTGCCAATAGTTCTCTTGACTCTGGAGAATAGATTGTAGAATTATTCCAAAAAGATCCAAACGTGTGTGGAAAAGACCTCAATTTCATTTTAGGCAATTAAGAGTCGCTCCCATGTTTTTGAAAAATAACCAGTATCCTGTTGAGCATTTATGAATGCATAAATTAGATTTACATATTCATAACTGTTCAGTATTCATGTTTATGACTGTGGTACTACTGCCACGATCACTACCTCAAGCCCACCAAGCTATGGAGGTATATTCTATTGGAGATTGGGGAGTTGGAAGATGTCATTTCCAGCTCTCTTAACTGCAATCTGTGGTGAGATAATCAGAAGGGCCTCTGCCTGAATGTTTATCTGCAGATTGCTGGTGGAAGAAGGCTGAAGCACCAGCCTGCTTTCCCCTGATCACCAGCACAACAAATTGCCATCTGGCACCCTCTTAAACTAATGAGAAGTATTACAATAGTTTTTGATAGCCAATGAATTTCAGCAATAGTAGTGGTGCAGTCCCAGATGGATTTTAGGATCTAGTGTGGCCCCTTTAACTCAGGAAGCTTCCTATTCCTGGTATAAAGGGTTGAACCAGAGGCTTGTGTCAATTGGAGAAGGATCAGTCCACATAAAGCTAAGATATAGTCTAAAATATTCAATACTGGATGTAATGCCTATAAAAAATGAACTGATATGACAAGTCCCTTTTCAGAGGGGGGGGGGCATTGCACAAATATTTGGGAACTTTGCACAAATACAGTATTTTGACAATACTTTAAGTTCCATGGATCCATTCTATGGCATCCTGGGATTTGCAGTTTCACAAAGCATTTAAAATTCTGTCTCACAGAACTGTCGTATCTTCTCAAACTACAATCCCAGGATATTGTAGGGTGCAATTAAAGTGCTGTCATTGTGTAGCATGAAAAGACCCCTGTGGCCATTTCATTTTGCACCAGTTCCCCATACTAGAAAATGCCAGCAAATAATGACAATAGCATTGTGAATTGCTACCAAGTTGGCTTTGACTTAAGGTGACTTTATGAATGACAAGCTTGCAAGACATAGAAATTGGTCCAGATAAGTCTTTCACAAAAACAAACAAAATTATTTTTGAAACAACAAATAGATCAGTTTCTTTTTAGAATCGTGGAGACTAGCTTATATCCCATCAATTCAATTCAGTAATGCATGTATTATGATAAGTTCTTTGCTCATGACAATGAAAGCACTCTTGTTAAGAGCTATATTAAATATTAAAACTTGTATTTGGATTGTACATTGTATAAAGCAGTGAAAGACGGCTGTAAACTATCATTTCCAAGGAGGATAGCCAGCTTATAAGTAGTTTTTGAAGGTATAAGGCAAAATTAAATAATTAGTCCGGAGCATAAACATAGAAATTATTTATGCCAGAGAACACATATTGTTCAGTAAAACTGACACAAAAAGAGACATTATTCTATAAAGAAACATAATGATCATTGCCTTCGAGAACAGCTAGTCCCAAAGAAAAATACAAGATGTCCAAATTAAAGCAAAATGACAACAAAAGCCCACTGAGTTCTTTCATCCAACAGAGACTGATCAAAATGCAAGATATTGCTGAGATGTTGAACTTAGTAGATGAGTACAAAGGGGAGAAGTAAAAAAGGATTACAAAGAAAAACCAACACTGGAAATTTCAGCTGTACCTATGGAAAGCTCTATGGAAATAAGCAGAGACCTTGCAGCAGACATTCAATGAATGGCTTAGGAGCACCTTGATTCAAAGCCACTCTTTTCCCCACAAACACCAAAGTGCCAGTTTGACCTGCACTGCTTACTCTGGAGAGTTCAAACTTCACTTGCTCTGCTACTTGATAACAGAAATAAAATGTTAAGATTTTTCCCCTTGAGAATTTAAGGGGGCCTGTGGCTGAATGATAGGCATGATATAATTGGAATTTGTGATCTTTTAAAAATGGCCTAAAACCTGGCAAGTGGTGTCAAAAAAAGAAAAGAAAAACAACCTTTCAAACAGGGTTTGTGACGTACTGATGTAATATTAACTGGGCCCAGTATTTACAGGGTCTTCACAGAAACTGCAGGGGCATAGATAAATTAGAGATTTTGAAAAATTATTCAATTTTTAAAGGATACATTAAACTGATGACTGGATGTGCATCCATAAGCAAGTTACCTAAAATATTTCTAGAAGTAGCTGTTATATTTTGTACAATGGTGTGTGCATGCTATCTACAGTGAGAGATGCCTTTCTTATGCACCTTAACTGTAGCCGTAACCATTGTGAGCTAAAGAACCCTTGCCATTATAGCACAAAGGGGGAAAATACTTGCCTGCCTCCAGTTTTCCCAGCGCATTCATCAGTAAGAATAGCTTCAATTCATACAGCTGAGATACCTGCATGGAGATCCTTCTTCTGCTGAAGTATTTGGAACAGCTCACATATGAAGGATCTCCATATTCATGCTGAAATCAATAAATTTTGCTTCCATACACAGCACTGGCATAGAGTACAAGAAACGCTACCATGTACGGAGAAGACGACAGCAAAATAATATACAGGAACCAACATTTTGCATTGTAAAAAGCAGCAGATCTCCTTGCCTGGATTTGCCATCAGTAGACCTGAAAGCCATAGAGCAAACTTATGGAACTAATACAGAACACATGCTTCCTGTTCTAATAAGCATATAATACAGTGTGATTAAACACAAAACAAAAGACTTCCACTTCAAAGTGCTGTTTTGTCTACTTCCAATTCCTGCTTCAACATGTTGAATATGTTAATGGAATTGGGTTGCTGTGAGTTTTCTGGGGTGAATGGCCATGTTCCAGAAACATTCTCTCATGATGTTTAACTCACATCTATGACAGGCGTCCTCAGGGGTTGGGGGGGGTCTGTTGGAAACTAGGCAAGTGAATTTTTATATCTGTGGAATGTCCAGGGTGGGAGAAAAACTCTTGTCTGCTTGTCTTTCTCCCACCCTGGACATTCCACAGATATAAAAATTCACTTGCCTAGTTTCCAACAGACCCCCCCAACCCCTGAGGACGCCTCCCATAAATGTGGATGAAATGCTTCTGGAACATGGAAAACTCACACAACCCAGTGATTCCAGCCATGAAAGCCTTTGAAAACACATTGTTCATGGAACATCAGAACATTACAAAGGATACAGAAGAAAATACAAGCATTTTAGTGCAAGACAAATTTACCTGAACACAAAACAATTAAAGGAAGATAATATATTCCATACATTCACCTAAGGCAGATGGTTAAGCTTTTTGTAAAAAAATACAATATGCTGCTCAGAAGAGGTAGAAAATACCAATATCTTTTTTTTTCAGAAAAAAAACTATTCCTTAATAGTTAGCTTCTTTGCAAATAATTTGTAAAAAGAAAGAGGGCCTTTCTATTGTTCAGCACAATCTTCTGTTTTTGGAAACAAGCCAGGTGAATGAAACAAAAAAGGGCTAATTTTGCTCTAGCAAAAATAAAACCATTTTTCTTTTTATTTTGTCACTGGTATCCATCTCTTATGTTTAGGAAGACAACCTGGAAATAATTTAGTTGCTTGTAACTAGGCCTTCATTCTATGTACCCCCCCCCCCCCAAAATAGGACTTCTCATTTTGGTTAGATTTTGCCCTGAAAGTTTAGTCAACACCCCACATTACCCATATACACATCACACAATATGATACAATTTTGGGACATAGTCTAGATGCAACATCCACTGTGCAAGCCCTGTTGAAATCTGCAATGGTTTGACTTCCATTCCTTTCAACAAGACATAAGAGACGTTTCCAAATGACTGTGCCCTTTTGCGTAAGGCAGTAGACCCATCAACACTACTACCACTTAATACTATTTCTTAGGATATGTTATCAAATGGAATTACTAAATTGCCCTTTAGGAAACATCAAAAAAGATTCCAGCATTAAGATGCAATCTTAGGCAAGAGACTAAATAAATAAATACACTCATTCCATCTTTGGTAACTTACTAACTCAGTGTTTCTCACACTGTTCTCCTCCAGGTGTTTTGGACTTCAGCTCCCAGAAATCCCAGCCAGCTTATGAGCTGTTAGGAATTATGGGAGCTGAAGTCCAAAACTTCTGGAGGAGCACAGTTTGAGAAACTCTGTACTAGCTTATTGGGGGAAATCAGTGGGTTTATTCAATTTTCACAACACAGCTCAAGGCTGCTGACCAATTGGCTAAGGCATTGAATCTGAGCTTGCATTATCCTTTGGGGGAAAACAAATAGTGTTAAAGTTTCTCTCTCCATCACCCCCTTAGAAAACACATTCAACCATCGCTTATTAAACAGCATATGTAAAGAAAATTAGCATCTTTGTACATTCAAACAGATTTGTGGTTACTATCAAAATAGCTACAGAAGAAATGGAATGAAGTAAAGGTGCACGTCAAAAATCCTAATCAAGCAGGAAACTAGAATATTCAAGGTGATATGCAGCATTTCCTTTTCCATAAGTGATAGTAAGAAAATCACTATTAAAGGTCCTTCCCTCTTTGTCTTTTCATCACCACAGAACAGGACTGTCCAGCTTGGAAAAGCCAGGATTTTTCCTAAGTTCCAGGTAGGTTCCATTGCTAACCCAAGAGTCATCTGCAGCTTTCCTGTTAACAGCAAACACAACATTTTTTGGTTTTTTCCCCCCTTCTTAACAAGGGCGATGTAATTTTACTTCTGGGTACCTGTTTGATTTTCTAGATTTCTACATTTGTGGAGCAGGAAGAATGGTTACAACATGTATATAACTTTCAGCAGTATTTCCCAAATAGAAATATTTATTTACTAAATGCCTTTCCTTCAGCAAATAGAAAATGATGAAGAAAAAAATTCCCTGGTCTGATCTAATCACAAATGAGATCTACATTTTCTTAAATTTAACAGGGTCTGCACCACATTAATCCAGATTGTACACTAAGCTTTGTCATATGTCCATATCACTTGGCCATGGTGGTCCAAGCTCTGGTTACACCCCGTATATACTGCAACACGCTCTACATGGGGTTGCCTTTGAAGACTGTTCAGAAACTTCAATTGGTCCAGCGGGCAGCAGCCAGGTTGCTCACTGGAGCGGCATACAGGGAGCATACAACTCCTCAGTTGTGTCAGCTGCACTGCCTGCCAGTCTGCTACTGAGCACAATACAAAGTGCTGGCTTGAGCCTATAAAGCCCTAAACGGTTCTGGCCCAGTGTACCTGTCCAAAGGTATCTCCCCCTATGAACCATCTCGGAGATTAAGATCATCTGGGGAGGACCTGCTCTCGGTTCCACCTTCTTCACAAGCATGACTAGTAGGGATGAAAGACAGGGCCTTTCCAGTGGTGGCCTCTTGGTTGTGGAACTCCCTCCCTAATGATATCAGATCACCCCCCTTTCTCCTAGCCTTCAGAAGGAGAATAAAAATCTGGCTCTGGGAACAGGCTTTTGAAATATAGTGCAGTGTAGCAATTTTAAAGTGGAATATGTGCAATTGACGGAATGGCCTCAGACTCTGATCCCTGGATGGTGTGTTTTAACATTGGAATGTATTTTAAAAAACCTACAAGAACCTATTTTAATTATGTTTAATATTTTTTTAATTTTTGGTCCAATTTATTTTTAATTCAACATTGTATGTTTTAAGGCACTATATAGGTGCCACATGTAAGCTGCCTTGAGTCCCCCTTGGGGTAGAGAAAGGCAGGATATAAATAAGGTAAATAAATAAATAAATAAAATATTATGGAGGTGTATGGATGACATACTTCAGCAGCCTGTCCACATTATCTCTTCCAACTTAAACACTTTTGTGTTAATAGCAAATGTTTCTGAACCTACTTGAATTTGTGATGAATTTCCTATAAGGACTTTCAGCTCCAATGTGTAAAAAAGATGGGGTGCCACTAACAGGAACAGTAAGTTTGGTTGCATAGCGTGTGGACACAGCTCTGTTCCCCATTTAAAGAATGAATATACTTATGCATTGTTAAATGATAAATCCTGGAAGCATTCATTCCGAAACTAAACCCAGTTTCAGTGACTAACCAAGTAAAAATGAAGCCACCGGGACAATTTTCAAATTTCCATTTAACTCCATGCAGAAAATGACCAATGTATATGGTACCAAACACATCTGAAACTAAAAATGTGAGGAAAAGATTCAAGAATTGAGGACTACTTCTCAGCCTTCTTTTTAATTCCCACAAGAATGCATATGAAAAAAACGCATCAATTGAAAAGTCCATAAAAATACTAGAGAAGTTTCGATATTGTTAGTAATGATGTTTTCTCCAAAACACCGCATTCCTTTGGCTTGCTATTTCTTCCACCAAGTTTTGATTAGCTTTTATGTATCTCATTACAAAAAACAAGATTTTTTAATGAACTCACCCTACTAATAACGGTAAAATGCCTTTAGCTTTTAGTGGTATCATATAAGAGAGAACCACATGGTGTAGTGCAGTGGTTCTCAACCTGTGGGTCCCCAGATATTTTGGTTTTCAACTCCCAGAAATCCTAACAGCTGGTAAACTGGCTGGGATTTCTGGGGATTGTAGGCCAGAACATCTGGGGAGCCACTGGTTGAGTACCACTGGTGTAGTTGTTTTGAGTGTTGGACCATGACTCTGTAGACCAGGGTTCAATTCTTTGGTCAGGCATGGAAACTTGCTGCCTTGACTTGGGTGAGGCATATCCTTTCAGCTTTAGAAATGCCATGATAGATCTGTCATAAACAAAGAATACAACAGCAACAGCAACGTTATATGAGAAATGACCTAAAGAGATGCATCTCCTGGATTTTCTTTTTGGAGGGAGGGGGGGAATTAACTAGCTCATTTCAGTGTAAGAACATGTCATGTTATAAATTACCTAAAAAATCGAGGTTGATGCTCCATACTGTTTTCATCTAGAACCTTCCGCCGCTCTCGCTGCAGTTGTTCAATCCTCTGTTTTTGCATTTCTGCGCCTTCAATATTACCTTCTTCTAGGAGCCTGTCAAGTAATGGCAGAAGAAAGAAGTGTTAGGGTCATATTTTACCCTTGTTTATTTCAATTTAATACTCACTAAGTCTGGCTATACTAGGGGCCTATACACACTATGGAATTATAGCACTGTTATTGCATTTCAACTGCCTTGGTTCTGTTCAATGCAACTCTAGAGTTTGTAATTTAGCAAAATTGCTCTGGCTAAGAATCCTAAATGCTAGAATGCAAGATTCCACAGGACAGAAGAATGGCAGTTAAAATGAAATAACAGAGTTCGTAATGTGGTGCAAACAGACCGCTTTATTGACCCCGGCCACAGACAGCAGTTTGAATAGGAATTACAATTTGGGAGAAAAATTTGTTGACAGAAAGATGCTGAAAATGAAAACATTATTATTATTATTATTATTATTATTATTATTATTATTATTATTATTATTTACTTCATTTCTGCGCCGCCTTTCTCAACCTGGAAAGGGACTCAAGGCGGCTTACAAATCTGGCAAAAATTCAATGCCGTACAGGTAAACAATAAAATATATCTCATCAAAATATAAACAATCTAGATATATTGGCAATTAAAACACATATCAATCAATCAAACAGATTTAAAAGCATATAAAATACCGAGTCATCATTTCATGTCCAAGAGAAACTTTAAAAGATATTCTACAAAACATATTCCTTATAAGAGGCAAGTAAAGAACTTTCAAATTTCTATGTATGGTTGTGAAAGCTATGGTTGCAACAATTGCTTCATAAATTCAGATAAGATTTTGTAAAAAATTACCTTTGGTCTGGTCTAAACCGAGTATCGGTTGGTGGTAACAGGGGTCTAACAAGTGGATCTAATTCATTTAACTCTAATGCAAACTGTGTGAAGCAATACCACTGTTCAAAATCCTTAGGCATTGGATCTGCAAACAAAAACAAATAAAGGACTGTTACGCTCTGATTCCATCATCTTGACTCACAGAGACACTCATTTATGGAAAATAATTACCAGGTACTCCGAGACAAACCCACCTCTACAGTGTTTTATACTATAAACCACTACACAAGAATATACAAAGATTAAACATACCTAGATTATGGGGGGAAATTAATGGAAGAGCACCAAGGCAGGATAAAAAATAAAATAAAATAATTAGTTGATCACTAACTAGCTCTCCAGATGCAGTTTGCCGCAGATGGTGTTCCGCAGTATATATTCTCATGCCATTTCCCAAAAAGGCGATGTACTACTTTTCCATTTTTGTCTAAAACACTGCCTTCAATCTCATGGACATTGTGATTCCAGTATTTTGTCTGGAAAAAACAAACAAACAACAAAACCAAAATCAGTCCTAAATATATATTTTAAAGAGCAGGGGTGGGGGAGATTATTACTCTTGTTGTATTAAAAATCACTATGTATTGCTTACAACTTGGGGATTCTACCCTCAAATCTTAATTCGCCAAGATAATCTCATATCAATCATGTTGTGTTTACAAAGGGTAGACAAAATGTAATGCTTAGCCCTCAGCCCATTACAAAGGCCACTCAAAGGAGTAACTGGTCTCTTTCAGGAAGGAAGCAAACAAGCAAGGAAAAAATAAAGGGAGTGAGGAAGTGGGTAGGTGGGTGGGGAGCTGGCCTTAATACACTTTGGTTCTAGATCAGGGGTTCCCAATCTTTGAGCCTCCAGGTGTTTTGGACTTCAACTCCCAGAAATCCCAGCTAGCTTACCAGCTGTTAGGAACTGTGGGAGCTGAAGTCAAAAACACCTGGAGGCCCAAAGGTTGAGAACCACTGTTCTAGATATATACATTCCCTGTTAGCAAACCAGTGTGTTGACTGAAGTCCCAATGAGAACAAAATAAAATAAAATACCCTTGCTTTGGCACATTCAAGCTAATTTGAATTTAAATATTACCTTGACAAAAGTAAGTTTGCAGCAGCAACTGCTGTCATTCAGATTCTTGATTATGATCTCTCCATAGTGTTCTATCCATCGCTGTCCACTTAAGATATTATGAATACAAGATGTCACTTTATTCCATTCATAGTGGTCCTTAAACCTGGAATAAAGTAGAAAACCTTGTTTGTGCAGTGGAATAAAACCTTAGCACAGTGGTTCTCAACCAGCCAGTTTACCAGCTGTTAGGATTTCTGGGAGTTGAAGGCTAAAAACAACTGGGGACCCCAGGTTGAGAACCACTGCTTTAGCACATAAATTGAAACAGTGGTCTCTAAAATATTAAGCTGCAATATTCAGAAAATCCAACTTTCACTCTCTTCTAGACAAATAAAAGACAATAAAGTAGGGAATAGACTTATTCAGAAAGAAAGCTGACACTTATAAACAACAAAAAAGAGCTGAGGGAATATTCTTCAAAGATATTTCACAAACACTTTACAAATGTGACCAGAGATTAGTAATTGAGCACACACACACTGCATGTTAATCAAGGAAAATATAAAGGGGCTAGTTCATGCATGGGAAATGTATGGCCCTCCAGCTTGTACTGTGAGACTGCAACTCCCTTCAGCTCTTAATATTAGCTAACCTGGATGATGTTGATAGAATTCAAAATTCAACATACAGAGGGCTACAAGTTCCCTTCTTTCACATATATGACTGGTCTAGGTAGCCCTGCTAGACAGATACAAGCAGTTCACTATCCATTTCTTGCTTACCAAGAAGGACAAAATACCATATTTACCAGGCATGGGCAAACTTTGGCCCTCCAGGTGTTTTGGACTTTCAACTTCCACAATTCTTCACAGTTAGCAGTGGGAATTAAAGTCCAAAACACATGGAGGGCTGAAGTTTGCCCATGCCTGGTATATACTCATCTATTAGTCAACCTCATGTAACAGTCAAGGGCAGGTTTTGGGGCCAAAATGAAGGGTTTTCGTATCACCTGAGGATGTTGAGGGAGTTTTAGTATGACCTGAGGATGGAGAGGGGAAAGCAGTAATGCCACCTTAGGGGCTGATACCAAATGAGAGACTCCCCCCTGGGCACACAGAGGACTGGGCGACTTGGAAGGCGCTGAACAGACTGCGCTCTGGCACCACGAGATGCAGAGCCAACCTTCAGAAATGGGGCTACAAAGTGGAATCCATGACATGCAAGTGTGGAGAGGAGCAAACCACAGACCACCTGCTGCAATGCAACCCGAGCCCAGCCACATGCACAATGGAGGACCTTCTTGCAGCAACACCAGAAGCACTCCAAGTGGCCAGATATTGGTCAAAGGACATTTAATCAACTACCAAACTCACACATTTTGTATTTTCTCTGTTTGTTTGCTTTGTTCTGTTAGAAATGTAATATAATTGACTGGCTGCCCTGACACGAGAAATAAAATAGGGCCCACTATTGCCATCTTCTTACCCAGGCATTCAAAAAAAAGTGAAATAGCACCATGGTTAAGAAAGTAGAGGGAGAGTCAGTGCTTCTTTTAGGTTCTTTCAGGCAGACTAAACTTTTGCCACAACATTCAGAGAAGTGGATGGTATTCACACTCACTTTGTGGATAAGTCAACTAAATTTGGTGGACTGATTTGTTGACTGAAATTTCTTGATGTACACATGAGTATATAGGGTTTAGATCAGGCATGAGCAAACTTTGGCCTTCCAGATGTTTTGGACTTCAACTCCCACAATTCCTAATAACCGGTAGGCCAAAATACCTGGAGGGTCGAAGTTTGCTCATGCCTGGTATACATGCTTGGCATGTTGGATTTGATAGATCAATTCAAGAAGAAGCCAAGGCACTTGTTCATGGCAAATCAGTGAGGCAGATAGCCAACTCTCCTCCAAATAATGGGATAATGGAAGATGACCTGCTAGGATCATAACCTATTGTGGATTATGGATTATGACCTGTTAGGATCATAACCTATTGGAAGTTATGACCTGTTAGGATCACAACCCACTAGTTAACAGAGTTATGGAGGTGTTCCTTTAGTTTATTAGGCAATGAATGATTGCTGAACTCATAAATATCTTATTTCTATTCAATGCTTTCAACCAACAAAGATTCAAGTAGACTTCTTTTAAAATAACAAGTTTGTTTTACTCAGAACTTCGTGTATTTAAATATACAGGCACATTTCTTGTCAGGTTAAACTTTGAAATGTTTCAGTTTGTGTCTTTAACTTGTTGTCTTTAATAGTCCCTTCAAAAACTATATTGCTCTGTACACTTTTCTTTCATAAGAGTCTACTCTGAAAGAATTCACGCATCAACAATTTCCTAACTTCCTACATTGACATCTGACTGAAAAACAGACTTCTATACTCAATCTGGCTCAAGGCTTAACTGTCTTCTAACTTCTAACACTGACATCTGTATTCTAAGTGACTTAAGCCTTAACTGTCATTCCTCAACTGTCATCATGTTTAAAATGCATTCTATGCAGCCCCACCCACTGCCTCATGTATATAGAGATAAGGAAACTGCAAACCAAAAATGACATACAACTTCAGGAAATAAAATGAGACATTATAAACAGACATGACATTAAATAGAGGAGGCTTGAGAAGGTTGCTATCTCCAACAAAACAAACAAACAAAAACCCAAACTCTCTTGACCTTGGATGTTCTGTATTTGAAACCAAAAAACTACCTGCCCTATACAAATTTTATAAATTGCTGATTTAGGAAAGCATTTTGGCAGATTACAATTCATAGTCGTTGATCATTTTCAAGTTATCCTAGCAATCTGAGAGCTGGGTATGTGAATATGAGGAAGTTTTAGATTGTGGCATTGGTGGCAGACTAATCAACTGTTAGCCCCATTGCATTTTCAAAGTGGTCCTCCAGCTATTTTGTACACATGCTATGCATGTGACAGCATGACTATTTATGATTTGGTAGGTCATTAAAAAACTTGGGGATTTTTTTCCTGAGCTAAAGGCATTTTTAGAACTTCTGAACTTTAGAATACAGTGTTGCTGGGCAAATTTGGTTTACTTTCTTTACATGCACTAATTCAGAACTTACGCTGGCAATGTTACGTGTGTTGTACCAACTGGCACAATTTCCATAGATTTACCCCAGAATTTGTTTTTCCACCTGATATCTGAAATTAGATAAACAGAGTATCATCATCATCAACAACAACAATAGTATCTAAGTAGGTACTTAACACCAAACATAGGCATCTTGCTATTGTTGAACTTGTTGAATTGCAGAACTTTCATCAATTGTTATCATATGTTGTTAAAAGTATCAAGAAGTACATATTTTGTGCTCATTTGTAGCTTTTCAGTGGCAACTTCTATTATAATTCTATATTTCATCAGTATAACATTACAATCAGTATAATTACAATTCTGCCAAACCTATGTGTTTCATAACATGGTTTTGGAACTAGGCTGGAACTTCACCTAGCACCGATTACATGGGGATGTAATCCTGCACCCACCTGCATGAGAACCTGCCTACCATTATACATGATACTCAAGAGGCTGAAACCAAGTAGATCATAATTACAGCATCATGTCAGATCAAATAATAACTATAAGGCAGAGAACCATATGCTCCCCTCTGCCTCTGAGATCAGTTCAGAAGTCTGCTTTAAGTAATGTAATTTTCTGAACTATTTATTGTAAGCAAAGGGAACAGCATTTGTAATTGCAAATCTTTTTTGGAGTATGCTGTAATAAGACATGCTAAATTATAATCTGCATTTGTGATTAATACTTCCAGTGTTCACTCTGCACTGATCAGTTCTGCCTCATATAATCATGCATGGAGATTATGTAATTAAGTCTTATAATGTTAAATCTTTAGAAATAAAGGTAAAGGTGATCCCTTGACATTAAGTCTAGTTGTGTCTGACTCTGGAGGGGTGATGCTCATCTCAATTTCTAAGCTGAAGAGTCAGCGTTGTCCATAGACACCTCCTAGGTCATGTGGCCAGCATGACTGCATGGAGCACCATTCCCTTCCCACAGAAGCGATATCTATTGATCTACTCACATTTGCATGTTTTTGAACTACTAGGTTGGCAGGAATTGTGCTAATAGTGGGAGCTAACTCTGTTCCCTGGATTTGAACCACCAACCTTTCAGTTAGCGGTTTAACCCACTGCGCCACCATGGGGCCCCCTTTAGAAATACCACCCACCAATAATGCATATTTATTGGATTATTTTGATTTTGTCAATATATAAATGATACAATGTAGACATAGATATACTCTTCCTGTGTGCTGTATTACTTAAAAACAAATGCAGTCAAATCATAATGTATCAAAATAATAATATCAAAAAGAAATACCAGCAAAAGCTTGCAAAACTATTTAAAATGCTGGAATGCTGTTTAATATAATCTTCATCACCTGGTACTCTAAAAAGGCATAAAACCTGACCCTAGTTGAAATGTATACCCATTAACAGGATATTATTGCTACCTGCCTGACTTTTGGTGATATGGAAACTGTCAGGCAAAGAACAATTTCTTGGAATGCTTCTGCAAAAGGTAACCTCATTCGGAAACCTTAGCTATATCCCCCAAGTGCTGTTTCAATAAAAACTTCATTCCACAAGGCTTATATCTAACGAGTGGATGAACTGTGTCACTGTTTTAAATTAAAATATTTTGAGGGGGAAAACAATAGATTTGTGCCCCTATTGTTTTACTTAAAAAGCAGGAGAACTCTACTCTATCATGTTGGGTTATACATTATGCTCTTCTTTTATAAACTTATAGATGCTAATCTTGTTTAATAGTATTCACTTTGCATATCACACCCGGCTGTTTTTAGTCTATGTATGTAAGATACTATAATATATTTCTTAAAGTATCCTGCCAACCTCAGACAGGATTCCATAATTACAGATAGTGAACAAAAATCTAAGGTGAGTTGTATTCAAACCTGTTATGTTTCTGTTTGCCTTTCCATATAACAACGGAAATGCATAATTCTGTATTGATGACTACATCTGCCTCATTCTGAGTTTGAGTTGATATTTTTTTAAAACTGGTAAATAGTAAGTTTCAAAAGTTACCTTGCCAAAACATAAAGTTGTCAGATTCAGCATGACATGCAGATATAGGTGGATGATGACTGACCTAACAGGAAGAGGAAGTGAAGGATACACAATTTTTCAATTGCTCATATTTCTCTCATGAATTTTTCAAACAGTTTCATTTTCCTTTCAGTACTGCCACTCTAAAGACACCAAATCCCATATGATTTTGGAAGCCAAATAGTATCCGTCCTGGCTAGTACTTGGATAAGAGACCACCAATGGATACCAGCTGTTGTAGGCTATGTTTCAGAGTAAGAAACTGGTAAACCGGTTTCTGAGTATTCTGATGAATTCCTATGTAATTGATCAGGTTGCCTTAAATCAGTGGTTCTCCACCCAGGTGTTTTGGCCTACAACTTCCAGAAATCCCAGCCAGTTTACCAGCTGTTAAGATTTCTGAGAATTGAAGGCCAAAATATCTGAGGACCCAAAGGTTGAGAACCACTGCCTTAGACAGACAAATTGAAGGCACAGATACACACAGCATTGACCACAAGAGGGAGCCTGTAAAATTAAAATCAGTGATGATTAAAAATGGCTCCTGAAAACATTGGATGACTTCTGAAGGTTATTCAGAAGTGCAAACCTGGTTATTATTATTAATTCATAATTTGCATACAGTGTAAGGGCAAGGAAGCTGTTTTAAAAACAAAAAACTAGGCAGATGGGAAAGAATAATAATAAAAACACACATATAAAAAGTATTATAATAGAGGAAAGTTTGATCCCTCTCTCCAAGTGCTGAGTAATCACTAAAACGTCAAGAAAGCTGAATCTGGAATGGGGAAAAGGGACAACTGGAATGCAATACAAGGAGTTTCTCCTGACTCCTTAAAATACCTTATTGGCTAAGAAGTTTATGCAGTATCTGTTTTGTGTTTGCTTTCAATCAGCTGAGTTGCGAAATGTGGGGAGAGGAAATTTCAAAACTCATGCTACAGGAAAATACATACACAGGGAAATCCCACAAAAAGCACAGTTATGCTTCATTTGGGAGATAATTGTCATTTAGTATGAAATAAACCACAGCCTAGAAAACCAAGTGATACATTTCCTGCTGAGTCCAAGCACATGCTAATTCAGATTTCTTTTCTGGTTTATTTTATTGTTTTTTTCAAGCTGCTGTCTAGACAATTCCCTTTTAGATGGACATTAACTTTAATATAGTTAGTCTGAAGTCCAGGTTAGATGTAGTACCTCCATTCTTGTACTATCAGTAAAAATCCTAAGATGAGCCTCTGTGTGTGCTTCCAACCCTTATTCCCCCAAAGAGTGCACTCTCTCAGACATTCTCCTTCATGTTTTTTGGCAATGAATCTCTACATCACCTGGCAACTCTAACATCCAGACAGCATCCACATGGAGGCATAAAGAAAACAAGCCTGGTACTGCTGAATGAAATTTAAGATATTTTCAGGACACAGTCATATAACTCTTCATACTGCCATCCAAGTTAAAACTGGCAAATATTGTGGGTTGGTGCTATGTTACTCATTGCTCAGTAAGTCTATCAAGTTCCCAGTTCAACTGTTACTTATACCATCATGTACCTGATATTTTTAACGACCTTAAAATAGATACTCTAGAGAACCCCTGTTATGTGGTACATATGGAAAAAGGACATAATCATGTACTAAGTAGTAGGCTGTATTCCTAGTACTACATCTATCCTTGGATATTATGCCTGGTTCTGAGTATTGCTTAACAATGAGGACAGAGCCAGAAGAATGACCCTGGTCTCCAGAATTTGTATCTGCACTTCAGTGAATGTTATGTATCATATTCATCCGTTCATAAGGAAATTTATGAGCAATCTCTTGTAGCCTTCAGATCAGCAACAGATCTGTCAAATCCTATGTTACTTGAACTCTCCCTCTAATGTAAACACACTCATTATAGCTTTCTAATGAAACCTGAATTTCCTATGGCTGACTTGGTGGACTGTGTCTAATAGAATTGAATCTCTGTAGTAACTGAAAACTTTTGGGTGGTATTAAATAAAGCAAATTTATTGAAATACGAATTTATGGACCGATAAATGGGTTCAGGATCTCCATCTAATATGACATTTTAAACAAAATACCAATAAGAAAATGAAGTGAAAGCATTATCTCTTTAAAGCAAATAAAACTGGCTTTAAACAGTAGCGATGACAGAGCAGTTTGACTGTGAATGGTCTGATTGCTGGATTGAGGAAAGGTGGAACTTTCTCAAGAATTCTTACATGAACCATTGGGGGAGATCCATTCTTTGAGATCAGGAATTTCTAAATATAATTAAGAGATTGTCAGAAGACCTGAGATGGGTTCTGTGGTTCTCAACCTGTGGGTCCCCAGATGTTTTGGCCCTCAATTCCCAGAAATCCTAACAGCTGGTAAACTAGTTGGGATTTCTGGGAGTTGTAAGCCAAAACACTTGGGGACCCACAGGTTAAGAACCACTGGGTTAGTTGAATTCCAACCTTCTCAAGTCTGAACTGGAACAATGGGGTGATTGCTCAAAAGTTTTATTTTAAATGTGCTATAGAAACCCTATGAGAGAGACTTCCAAGAAGTAATTGCAATGAGTACATTTTTGAACATAACAATGATTGTAGTACCTGCTCAGAAAAATACTGGAAACCTTTGTCTTCCCGGACACATTCGTATGTTTCTCCAAGCACAGGATTAAATGGCTTACTTCCAGCTCTGTAGTAACTGGAAGCATAGGCAGAGACAGCAAATGCAGCTACATACACCTAAAAACAGAGTGCACAGATATGTGTTGGTTCTTCACAAATGAGGACGTCAGTGTCATCTCTTGCTACATTCTAAATGAAGTTCTGATCTCATGCTGATGCCAAACACAATTTCTCCCTGCTTTGCAAAGTTTCAAATTTGTATCTGCGAGCTACAGCACCATCTTAAGCACAGAAACATGAGTCAGTGTATACAGAATAACTCTAAAGCCTCTCCTGAGTCTGAAATAGGACTGGTGAAAAAATGAAATGTTTAGAGCAAAATCCCTCTTTGAAGAAACGAATTGGAAAGGCTAGCGGGGGATGTCAGGCCAGTCCTTTTTCCTCAGCCAAACCTCAATTGTTATGAGAATAAATTGGAGAAGAGAACAGCCACACAAATCACTCTGAGCTCACTAGAGGCATGGGATGTAAAGGTAATAAATAATAACTATAAATAAAGTGTATTGAATGTACCTTGCATTTTTTGCCTGAGGCACAAAATGAAGGAAGCACTAAAAACGTATATTGTGTTGCCTGTGGTAATCTGAGCACCACCAACACCAGCTTAAGGGAGGCAAATCCGAAGAAACAGAACTAAGCTCTTTCAGTTCTCAAAGACTGCAGGAGAATTAGGACTGGTTTACAAGTCACTTTATCCACACAGAGTAATTCTCAGCAATCTGTAACAAATGATGTTTGAGTACTAAAGCACACAATATTCAAGACATATTTACTTTATTATATTCAAATAACAATAATGATTCCCTTTTCTATGAGGTGGGTGTCAGGTTAACTTCTCCCCCTCGTCACTGCAGTACCAGTGAAGTGTACAGTTGTTCCTCCACATTTGTGAATTTGACTTTTTGGGATCTGATTATTCATGGATTTGATTAAAAAGTTTTTCTAGGAACTCTAGGTCCTCCAGTGTGATTCTATGGAGGATCTAGGATTCTAGGAGATGTGGCTTTTTTGGGTACATTAATGGGTTTTTTCAACTTTTGCATGGGTCTGTCCATAGCTGCTGAGAATTAAGAGGGATGACTGCACTTAAAAATACACACATTTCAGCACTGCAAGTTGCTGTTAAGTCCAGGAAAGAAGCTACTCTTAGTGTCAATAGCACTTCCTGTCGAGTACAACAGCAGCCCTGCAGTTGTTGTTTTTTTGCACAAGGAAAATGATTTTCATACTGTTCTCCACATCAAACAGGTATTTTCTGAGAAGGAGATTTCTCTATGTTTCAGAAAAAGGTCTGCAAAATACTGGCCCTGCTCGGAATGATGTGACCCTCCAGATCCTGTTGAACTACAGGTCCCAATATTATGCAACATCAGCTCTGCTGCCTAATATTGCCCTGGCATTGCAGTGCACTACGTTTGGATAGGCAGTCGATTCCAACCTCTGTCAATTACTACCACTCCTTAAAAGAAGGGACATTGTAAAAAATTATTTCATAGCTAAGTTCCATTCCCTCTTACTGTAAGAACAGTGCCTAGAACTCTCCCTGTCCACTTTCCACAAGGACCTAAAGACATGATTGCTCTGCTGTGCCATTGAGTAGACAATTCCTTAGACAGCTGGCCCTAGCAAAGACCCCAAATCCCTCCTCGCACTTTACTATTGTTCTGTATCCAAAGCTATGATGACTCATTTTGCATTGCTTTATTCTTACTTACTGTCATAGGACCCATGCACTTTACATACCAACCTTATTCTCTAAATTGTTGTTGCACCAGTCCGCCAACTCGTTACGTGAAATGAAGTTCATTATTGGTTGTTGGTTTTTGATGCCTGTTTTTATATATAGTTATAATGTTGTTATATTTCGTATTGTATTTTACTGTGTTATGTTTTTAATTGTGTTGATCGGGCTTGGCCCCATGTAAACCATCCTGATTCCCTTTGGGGAGATGGAGACGGGGTACAAATAAAGTTATTTTAGAAGTTATTATTGGGCTGCACAGACTTACTGCCGCAGCCTTCATGACTGTAACACCACCTTTGAAAGGTAGGCTGTTCATGAAGTAGCTGGATGATTCAAATATCATTAGCTTCTCGACTGCTTTTCTAGTAGAGTGATTTTAAAAAAAAAGGTGTATAGGGCACAGATAGACATGCATCACAAACATGATGGGAGATTACAGCCTTAATGAACTAGAATCTAACAATATGGATCTGCACTGGGGCCTCCCTCCATATGACAGCTCAACAGTCACGTGACCAAGTGTTTTCACAACAAGAAAAGGTGTAACTCACTGATTAGAATTGCTCCAGGATACAATTCCTTCTTACCATCCTTTCGAACATGTCTGGTGTGTGTGCTGCCTTGTCCAGCAATTCACTGTACTCCAGTTCCTCACAGAGCCGCTGCAAAGTGTTCAGGGGTTCATTCAACTCCACTGGCATTGCCACCTTGGAGAGATCTTTCCCTATATTGTTCCGAAGAATGTTCCAGAGGCTGATGTTGCTCGTGTTGGGGCATGGGGCTGGCAGACAGGTTCTCCGCTTGGAATGACTTTCCACACGGCCATCAGGAACAGAGTCTAGGAGACAAGAGATCAGGGATAACATAAGACGAACAGACCAAGCACCTTTTTGGAGTCTTAGGAGCAATTAAGGTTCAGCTTAGCAATAACGACACAAGCAGTATTTGCCACTGCTGGAGAAGCTTGGCCCTAGTATGAGTCCAGCTCTAGTCAGTGTCTGAGTCGTGAAAACTCAGTCATCCAGCCTGTCTAGAATGATGGGCATGGGATTCTCCATGGATGGAAATCAACTGAGAGTGGGGCCACTCAAGGCTCTTCATCTGTTTTAGGCATTGTACCCGATCATCTTCTCACTTTCAGAAGCTGCCCTTAGAGCCATGAATTCCTCATCATTTGGCACAAATATTTAATTTCATCTCAGCTAGGAAAAATTAACATACAGGTACTTAGATTTCTGGCACTGGAAATGTGTAGCCTGGGACTTCAGACTATGAAAGATACTGCACTAATTACTTACTCTAAATTAGACAAAAAGATCCCAGAGGTGCCAATTACAGAATGCTTTATCCAAAGACTTAAAAAAAAAACCACTACATTTTAAAACAATGTTTTTATTGCAGGGAATGTGTATAATTTTGACAGCACTGGATTATTCAATATGCTTTAACTCTTTCATGTGCAAAATACGAAGAATAAAAACACAAAAAATGAGCAAAATATTCCCTGAACAGAAGCATCTCCTAGAGAGTATACATCTCAAATATTATAAAAAACAAAAGCATAGCCGGAATTATTGCATATCTACAGTACTAGGAAGGGCCCCCTGATGGTGCAGAGGGTTAAACCACTGAGCTGCTGAACTTGCTGACTGAAAGGTTGGTGGTTCGAATCCGGGGAGCGGGGTGAGCTCCCGCTGTTAGCCCCAGCTCCTGCCAACCTAACAGTTCGAAAACATGCAAATGTGAGTAGATAAGTAGGTACTGCTTCTGCGGAAAGTTAACTGTACTCCATGCAGTCATGCTGGCCACACGACCTTGGAGGTATCTATGGATAATGCCAGCTCTTTGGCTTAGAAATGGAGATGAGCACCACCCCCAGAATAGGACACGACTAGACTTAATGTCAGGGGAAACCTTTACCTTTACCTTACAGTGCTAGGAATATCTGGAAGGACTAGGACTCTTGGAAACTGGGATTCAAATCCCAATTCACCTATGAAAACCCCTTGGATGACTTTGAGTAAGCCAAATTCTTTCACAACAGAGATGTCATAAGTCAAGGGCAACCTGAAGCCACATAACAACGATCTCCCACTCGAATGTCATAGTCAATGTGTGAAGGGAATGTCAAAGGGCTCTGAGGAGTAGCATTCCTCACTCTACCCCATATTTCGGCATGCATATACTGCAATACCTTGAGCCATTACTCTCCCTGAAAATAAACAACCTCTGAAGAAACCAAGAGGAAGAGGCAGAAAAATGGAACCCAATTTAATGCTGTACTTATTCATGTTCACTGAGTTCCTCCCGCATGACAACAGATCAGCGTGTGTCCTTTCACCAATGCAAGATAATCAGATAAAAGGAAACATAGTCCTTAATCTGCCTGTATCTTCACTTCTGCATTACCAGCTACCAAGCAAAAGAAATTATGAGGAAAGGAATTAAAAAACACAATTTCACCATTCATACCGAGGGTTTGCCTTTCATTCTCTATGTCATTACTTAGGTTGTCTTCAGAGATGTTATCACTGATATCACTGGCATATGAATCATCATCAGACACCTGAGGAGAAAAGAATTATGCTTTCATTCTGATTAAAAGGAGTATGTGCATGTAAAGCTATACTCATAACGAAGCAACATTTGGGAAATTCAAAAAGTAGATAAAATAGGTCATGCAGTCTGGAGATGGCAACACAGAATGACATTGTAGCATCTGTCATGGGCTTTTTGCCAAGAGCAATAAAAAAATCCAAATATGCAACTGGGGGAAACAAATCCTTGCAAGAGTTTCCAGACTGACACATTCAAACATATGCTGTCTCAGATTTGTATCTGATTATATCTTTATCTAAGCAGCATTTCCTGTATTCATTTCCCACCCTTTTGCCATCTTCTTAAAAATACTTTTAAAACCAAGCAGCAACAAACAATTGTATATACTGAAATGCTGCACACAGGGACTGCAATGAGCATATAAAGGCAGTAAAGGTCAGGCAATGTAAAAAAAAAAAAAAAGGAACAGAAGACCAATGTTTCCGACCCAAGCGCCCAGACCTCATTTTCTGAAGAGCTTGCAGATAGCAGGACTTCCTGTGCATCAAAAAACTCTGTGACAGAATCCGTTATAGAGAGGCGACTTTCATTGGAAAGCTGGTGAACTAGTCCTCTGCTTTCATCTTCTGAATTTTCCTGCAAAGAGGGGATGAGAAAGAATATTGAGCTTAAGTATATAGTTCAGTATAAGTCAAGGTTGGGAAGGTTGTGCCCTCCCCTTGTTGGACTACAATCCCCACATTCCTACCAGTGTTTAGGTTGGCTAGGGTTATTGCAAGTTGCAGCCCAACATTTGGAAGGTGGCATCAGTTCCCATCCTATGTGTTAACGGTAGTACATGTAGCTGGATTGTGAGATGCAACCAATCTTTAGACTTCTATGAGATGTTACTTCAGATAAGTTGAGGGTGATTGGGCAGGGTGAGCCACCCTCAACATCTGCAACATATCATTCACTTCATTTCAAATGACACCTGCTACTTCTGGAATACCCCAATGCATAGAACCCACCTTTCCATGAAGAAATAGGGCATTCATAAAGATGGCTCTACCTTTAGTGTGAACTAGCTTGGGTACCCAGTGGTGCCTAAGCTATTTGAAAAAGGCATTGTTTGTTTTGGGTTGTCAGGTCATATCATTTAGTTAATTAGTAACACTATTTATTAGGAAAAAAGACAATCTTTGATTCCATTTTTAAAGAATGCTCCCATTAGAAAATGCATAATGATGTGTGTGAACTACAATTCCCAGAGTTGTGGGTCAATCCTTCCCAAACCAAGCCTGTATGCACAGTTGGCCGTGTTTGGTGTGTGTTCCAAGTTTGGTCGAGATCTGTCATCGGCTGGGTTCAGTGCTCTCTGGATAAGTGTGAACTACAACTCCCATATGCCAAGGCAGTCACCCCCAAATCCTGCCAGTATTTTCAGTTGACCATGTTGGGTCTGTGTGCCCAAGTGTGGTCCAGATCCGTCATCAGCTGGATTGAGTGCTCTGGGGATGCAGGTGAACTACACCTCCCAAAATCAAGGTAAATCTCCCCAAACCCCTGCAATATGTTCAGTTGGTCATGGGGCTTCTCTCTGCCAAGTTTGGTCCCAGTCCATTGTCAGACCCCCTCCAGTCTGTTCAATTGCTGATCAATTCCTCTGCATTTGCTGTGTGTCACAGGAGAGGGTAGGAAAGGATTAAGGGAGAGGCAGTGGGCGGAGACATGCAAATTCCACAGAAGGAATCCTGGGATGCCTGCCTGTGGTGGAGGAAACATGTCAAATCTAGGATGAAATTCTCCCCAAATGCAAGCATTCCTTGGATGGTGGGTCACAGTGTTTGGGGAGGACATCGGCAGCGTTTGGGCTACATGTTCATAGGGCTCGCTCTAACCTGCAATGTCACTTGGGGGAGTGCCTTTGGATGCTTCTCAGCACTTGGAACTATAGCCTGTTTGTGGTGTGCATAGAAGATGAGATTACCATCTCAAGCAGTATATGTTGGAGAACAGCATTAACAGCCTTTCCAGCTTCACAAACTCTTCACAAACTACAAACACTTTCTAGACAACCTAAAATTCCCTTTCTCCATCATGAATAGCAATGGGCCCTACCCTATTGCCACTCAAAGTAAAATTCAACTGCCAGTCCAGCTGGATTCTATATATGTCCGGGGGTGGGGGTGGTCAGACAACCTTTTATATCATTTTTTGGGGAAATATTTTAAATGAGACCTACACTATGAGTGCAAAAACCAAGAAAATTGGTGATAATGGAAGAGAAAAGGTAGATTCCATGGGAGCATGAGGAGTCAAAACAAAGCAGGTGCACCGAGACTTAATAATATGCAGTTAGGTGAATAATTGTGAGTCTCTATTTTAGAACAGTAAAGCACCCAAGAACTGGGCAAACCATAAAGAAAAGGTAACAACTGTATATACTGTGCAATTCTTTTCTGTCCTCAAATCTTGATTCATACAATGCCCACAACAGTAGCGACAATACTTATCTATCATTTGTGGGTATGGCAGGTGTAAGCTGCCTATCTCGTCTTCAAATTCGGTTGCTTATTGGATTCTACAAAGAAGACCACAAGACAGCTCCCCGCTTCCCATTTGGTGTTTTCTGCCCCTCTCCACAGGTACATAAAAGGTTAGGAAAAAGCAGCCTCAAGTCAGCTATAACAATGAGTTTATCTCAACATAAACCTTTTTGGATTACAGTCAATTTATTCAGAAGCAGAAAACTTGTGCTGAAAAAACTGGTTAATATTAGAGTAGCCACAAGGTATCTTTTCCTTCCATTTTATAGTGGAACAGGCCAACACTTCATAAAATGCTACCAACCACAGCAATTTACCCCCAACGCCAATAAAAGCAGTTTGCAATCATCCTACATTCAGTCTTTCCAGAAAATTCATCGTGACCATTTCCAAGAATGGCAATCATAGAAATGGGGTGACGGAACAAGGAGCAAGATTTGTATGGAATTATAATGGAAAAGACCAAAAGATCTGCAAGTAAGCTCTCTAGATAGTCATGGAATGAGCTGAAGTTCCAGTTTGCACTAATTTGTCAGTAACTTGGTAAGTCTTTTAATACTTTATTTCCAGTTGAGGGTTCTTTAAGGCTACAGGTATTCACGGGAAAGCAACTGTGTGGAATACATTTCATAAAGTTTTTGATCATGGAATGTGCATCACAATGAGAAACATAGAATTTTTTGTTGGGTTTTGGATTTTAAGAATGAACCCATTACCATTCAAAATATGGGTAAACTACAACTTCCATCATCATCTGTCACTGTTCCAAACACATTCAAAGTTGACCATTTTGCATGGTGCCAAGTTTGGTCCAGATTCACTGTTGGTTGGGTTCACAGTGCTCTCTGGATGCAGGTAAACTACAACTCCCTACACTCAAAGCCAACTATCTCCAAACCCCAACAGCATCCAAAGTTGGCCATGTTGGGTCTGTATGCCAAGTTTGGTCCAGATTCATCGTCTGTTGGGTTCATGGCACTCTCTGGATGCAGGTGAACTACAACTTCCAAATTCAAGGTCAATTTTCCCCAAATACTACCAGTATTTAAAGTCAGTCATGTTGAGCATGCATGCCAAAAGTGTCCAGCTCCATCATCATTTGGTTCACAGTGGTCTTTGGATGTAGGTGAACTACAACTCCCAAAATTCAAGATCAATTTTTCCCAAACCCCAATATTCGAAGTTTGGCATGTTGCATATGTGCGCCAGGTTTTGTCCAGCTCCATCATTGTTTGGGCTCTCTGTGCTCTCTGGATATGTGAACTACAACTCCCAATATCTAAGGTCAATGTCCTCCAAACCTCACCAATATTCAAACTTGGGCATGTCAGGTATGCGTGCCCAGTTTGGTCCAGATTCATTGTTGGTTGGATTCTCTGGATGTGGGTGAACGATAACTCCCATATTCTAGGGTCAATTCCCCCACCCAAACTCCTCCAGTGTTGTCTGATAGTCATGTTGAATCTGTATGTCAAGTGTAGTCCAGATCCATCATTGGTGGGAGTCAGTGCTCTCTGGAAGTTGGAGCTATCTTGGAAAACTGTTGCCCAGAAACATACATACACACTTCAACGTTTATTACATACGAGGTTCCATATTTTTGTACTTCACTGTACGGGATTAGAGCAGATGACCTCTCAATTTAGCCATGAAATTTCTCCTTTGCACCCCGAAGCAGTAATATCTACATCCTTAAAATCATTTTTAAATAATTTAGCTTTGACTATCAAATTACAGAATAATTTACTATAAGACCTGAAAGTATGGCATCATAATATTTAGCTCCAGACTCAAACATCCAAGCCAAATGTGAACAAAAGGTTTACTGGCTGCAATGAATTTTCTCCACAAATGTATTTCATAGACATAAATTATGACAAACGTCTTGCTCAAAATCTTGTTTGTCTTTCCTATCTAAATTATAAAATTAACAATTCCTACTGTGATTTGAGCATTGGGAATGGACTTTGGGCAATTTACATTCTCAGAGGAAGGCAAGGACAAATCCCCTCTAAACAAAATTTGCCAAGATAGATTTACCATAAACCAGAAACAACTTGAAGACACACAACTACAACTGCATCAAAATTTCTTTTGAGTGTTAACAAAATCCAAGTTTTTTTTAGATGAAAAGTGACCACACTACAATTGAAGTGAATAATACTGTAGTATTGCTCTTCTGTATTTTTTTTAACGAACAGTGATGATTCATGAGGCTGAGCTCTATTACTGCATTTCTTCCCCATGAGACAGCTTTGTTATTGCTATTCTGGAAGGCATGGTTTTCACAGCAAAAACTGTGCCAAAAGAAGGGAACATTTCAGCACAGATCCGAAACCTGAATTACACAAACTGGTATCACTGGTTGAGATTCTACATCAGAGCTGCATAACATAAATCTGGGGGTGCAAAGCTGTGATTACCTTATGTTTCATGGAAATGGGCAACAATGTGTAATCAAGTGTGCATTCAAATAGACATCTGCACATGCTACAGCACCTAAGGTCAACTCTAATTTCACACTTGAGAACGGATTGAGAGCATTGTGAATTGGACAAAAATACCCAACTGCATCTGGAGAGGACCTTACACATGCATGAGACGCTAACAGATTTCTCTCCATCAGCATTTCTCAACCTGGGGTTGGGACCCCTGGAGGGGTCACAAGGAGGGTGTCAGAGGGGTCACCAAAGATCATCAGAAAACACAGTATTTTCTGTTGGCTATGGGGCTTCTGTGTTGGAAGTTTGGCCCAATTTTATCATTGGTGGGGTTCAGAATGCTCTTTGATTGTAGGTGAACCATAAATCCCAGCAACTACAACTCCCAATGTCAAGGTCTATTTTCCCCAAAGTCCACCAGTGCTCCCATTTGGGCATATTGAATATTCGTGCCAAGTTTGACCCAGATCCATCATTGTTTGAGTCCACAGTTCTCTCTGGATGTAGTTGAACTACATTGCCAAAACTCAATGCCCACCAAACCCTTCCAGTACTTTCTGTTGGTCATGGGAGTTCTGTGTGCCAAGATTGGTTCAATTCCATCATTGGTGGAATTCAGAATACTCTTTGGTTGTTGGTGAACTATAAATCCCAGCAATACAACTTCCATGAGACAAAATCAATCCCTCCCCCAACCCCACCAGTATTCAAATGTGGGCATATTGGGTAGTTGTGCCAAATTTGGTCCAGTGCACCCTGCATATCGGATATTTACATTATGATTCATAACAGTAGTAAGATTACAGTTTTGAAGTAGCAATGAAAATAATTTTATGGTTGGGGGGGGGGGAGGTCACCACAACATGTGGAACTGTATTAAGGGGTTGCAGCATCCGGAAGGTTGAGAACCACTGCTCTATATGGTGTGTTTATGTATACATTACAGTCCCAAAATTCATCACTGGAGTTCATTGACAGTACCCATTTTAACACAATATCAATCAATAGATTAACCCATGTTTCCATTTAGTTTCTCAAAAATTAAGATATATGTTGTGAACTCCTATTAATATTTATATTAAATGATATTACACCAGCTTACTTCTTTAAAAATGGTTAAATGATATTACACCAGTTTACTTCTTTAAAAATGTTCACTATCTGCTACTATTAGCCATGCATTCATTCATCTCCATTCATTTTTATCTGGCATGCAAGAGAGCTCAGCTACTCATAATAGAAACATTGAAGCGAAAAGGATAATGTGACAACTGGCAGTGAAACTGTGACTTGAGATACATTTCACCTTCACAACTTCTTCCTTCAAATAGTAACAACCTGGGATGTGTCTGTGTATGTGTGCTGGCATATTATTATGCTTGGTCCCTTTTGTGAAATGCATTTTCAAACTATGTTGAAAGATCCTTCTCTCTTGTGAAATTATATGTGAAGTGCTGATGCTACCAACAATTCAATGATACCAAACAAAAGGACAGAACGGATACTGCAAAAAAAAAAAAACCTACAGAGGAAATGGAAGCTTGTCAGCTAAAATCAGTCAAAAACATGCTGTGCGAAGCATTTGCAATTAATGCACACAATGCTATGATCAGATGACTCATATAAGCAGGAAGAGCAGGATGGGATGGAGAGGGATGCTGGGCATCAGTAGAGTCAGGGAAAGGGGAAGATGCAACAAGCAGCACCGCAGAAAGATAGGAAAGCTATACCCACCTTTGCCAAATCAGGGTTGGATTTTGCATTAGCTGCTGAATCAAGAAGCATAGATTCGGCATGTATTCTGCGTAACCGGTCTTTAAGATCTGTGTTTTGTGCTATGGCCTGGAATATTTAAGACAAAGAACAAGCACATTTGGGCTGTCAAGGTATCTTGGCTAATGGTACAAAACACAGAGAGAACAGAGCTTCAGAAAAATGTAGAGAGAAGACTTGGATTCTTTATTGATCTTTCTGTATGCTAAATAATTCAAACACATTGAAAGCCACTTAGAAGCATATGGTGCAGCTTTTTTAAAAGCCAAGTACCATCTAAAGAAGCAGGAGTGGGCTAACGCTGCACCCAACTGGAAGAGTGGGCTAACGCTGCACCCAACTATTGCTTTGCTATATGGTTTCAAGAGCCATAATGTAGAGCAGCTATTGGGATCTACTAAGGATCTAACTGCACATGACATTAAATATGATGGATGTAGCAACATTAAGCTTGCAAGAAAAAACTGAAAACTAAATATGATCTGGACTGAGATTGCGGATTTAACTTTTCCCCCTCCGAACACAACTCCAACGTGCAAACACATTTCATCAGGGCCTTTTTTTCTACTACTCAACACTGAAGGAGGGAGCTATTTTTCAGAATAAGGGTTTGAAAGGGAAGGGTTAACTTCCATTCCCTATGGTCCCTTGCTTGGTTTTAATAATACTGGGGCGTGTAGGATGATTCAAGAGATCAGCAGAAAACATAAAAGTGGGTATAAATAAAGCTCTTCAGTGGGCTCTTAGTACACAGGATCCTCCACAGCCAGCTATTTTGATTCAAACTATGCAACATTTACGTCTTCACTTTCGAGTCATGGCTTCTTCAAAATGGACCATGATTAGTACAAGTCTGACTAATCACTTCAGAAATCTTCAAAAGGAACATGACTTTATATACAAGTCTGACTAATCATTTTGGAATTTAAATCTGAAATTATCAGTTTCTAGAGTATGCTCCGGCAAAGAATGTCCCCACATCAAAATAGAGAAGAGTATGCCTTTCTCTTCCCTCTTGTTATAGCTCAAACATCTCTGTCTTTTCATTGGAAAACTTAACACGTATTATCCCTAGTTGAAGGGATAATAAGACAATTATTCTCTTAGTTTTCACATTAGGTCAGACAAAGAAGAACTAGACAGGACAACTGGCTGACAACAATCATAAAAAGGTAAAAGTAAAGGTTTCCCCTGACATTAAGTCTAGTTGTGTATGACTCTGGGGTGGAGATCTCATCTCAATTTCTAAGCCAAAGAGCCATAGACACCTCAAAGTCATGAGGCCAGCATGACTGCATGGAGCATCATTATCTTCCCACAGAAGCAGTACCTATTGATCTATTCACATTTGCATGTTTTCAAACTGTTCAGTTGGCAGAAGTTGGGCCTAACTGTGGGAGCTCATTCCACTCCCCAGATTCAAACTGTCAACCTTTCGATCAGCAAGTTCAGCAACTCAGCAGTTTAACCTGCTGTGGCTCCAGGTGCTGACAGCAATCATACTGGCATATATAAATTAGACTTGATTCTGGAGAACACTACTAGAAGAAGTGGCATGCAGCCAACCCTGTTACAACATGAACAAAAGCAGGAAAAGCACACTGCTATGGTAATAACTGTCACTAAACTGTGTATAAGTAATCAAAGGCTCAAACAAGCCTCTTCAGCAAATGGGAGTAACGTGCTTCTTGCAAACAAAATTAAGATATTTTTAGAATAAGTATGACTAATCATGAGGGAATTTGCATTCTCTAATTATCTTCCCTTATTTTTAACTCTATATCCATTTTCTGGAAATGCTACAGGACTTACTTTAAAATAAATTCCTAAAAGATTGTACTTTAAATATCCTTCAGGCATTCTGTTTTAAGAATATGAGTTTTGTTCGGAATGTCAGAAAAGCTAGGTCTATAGGGAAATACACTAATGGAAATGTCTACAGAGTTCCATGTTTCTTTTCAAATGTGGCATGGTGCAGCAAGTACAGAAATTAAAAAGCAAAAAGACATTACCGACTAGATGAGACACATGTCAAACAACATTTTATGAGCTGCAGAGATTACTGTTTCCCAGGTTATCACATATGAAGGACTAACCATTTTTTCCTCCATATGCCAGGGGCCAACACCACATTTGTGCCGATTGTCTATAATTCTTTCTTACTTTCCTGGAAATTTGAAAGGGGCCCGCAGTTATGGGCCGGGGATCAACATTACTTTGAGTAGCATTGCTGTAGATCATATTTTGTTTCTCAAACAACCAATTATGCAGACAGATCCCAACTTGATAGCTCACAGTAACATTTTCAATGTCTAGACAGATCCGCGCTAATTGAATGAGATGGATTTCCCCCTCTCCGGTAATGCTAGAGCCCAGGATTATCCACTGAAACTAAATGCTGGGAGATTCAGTATGGATTTCTTTACACAGTACAAGAATGATGGCATTTCAGTCTGCATGATGTGATAATGGGCACCAAGTCAGACTACTTTAATTTGATATAGAGACAAAGATACCATTGACTACAATTAATGATGACTACATGTAAGTTATAAACACAGGAATCAAATCACTGAATCGTTTATTTATTTATGACATTTATATGCCGCCCTTCTCACCCCGAAGGGGACTCAGAGCTTATGCCCACTGAAAACACCTGTCTATGATTTCCAGGAAGTTTCTTAAGTCTCTTAGGCTCCCTACCTAAAGATGCTGGGAACCAAATGTGGGACACATTGCATGCAAAATCTGTATTCTTTGCTAGTGAACTATGGCTCGTTTTGCTGAGGAATAATGAGGAAAGCACACAATTGCTCTCATTGTCCTGAATGTGATCTTCTCACTATGAGAAACAGAATAACCACATAACAGATATCCCTTTGAAATGATCTAATAGGGGGCAAAACTGAATTAATGCATATGCTCTGATCTTGGACATCCACTTCCACCAAAGTTCTTTGAAAAACACAAACATTAATAGAGGTTAAGTATCCCTTATCTAGAAAACCAAAATGCTTCAAAATCCAAAATTGTCCAAATACATGGGTGACTGCAATAATGGCATCTTTAGCTTTTGATTGTGCAATGTACACAGACTTTGTTTATGCACAAAATTATTTAAAATATTGTATACAAGATTTCTTTCAAGCTATGTGTATATAAATGATGGCCATGTATAAATATGTGAGGGGAAGTCATACAGAGGAGGGAGCAAGCTTGTTTGTAACTGCCTTGGAGACTAGGACACGGAACAATGGCTTCAAACTAAAGGAAAAGAGATTCCACCTGAACATTAGGAAGAACTTCTTAACTGTGAGAGCTGTTTAGCAGTGGAACTCTCTGCCCAAGAGTGCAGTGGAGGCTCCTTCTTTGGAGGCTTTTAAACAGAGGCTGGATGGTCATCTGTTGGGTATGCTTTGAATGCGATTTTCCTGCTTCTTGGCAGGAGGTTGGACTGGATGACCCAAGAAGTCTCTTCTAACTCAATGATTCTATGAAATGAATTTCATGTTAAGACTTGAGTCTCCTTTCCAAAGGATCTCACTATATATATGCAAATATTCCAAAATCCAAATATATACTGTACATATATCTGAAACCCAAAACACTTCTGGTCCCATTTTAGATAATCAACCTGTATTTCATTATCTGAAATATTGCTTAGTATTTGGAAGAAGTACTATGTCTTTTTGGCAGTTATCTGGCTAGATCTTTTAAAGAATTCCCTGACTATTTCAGATAATCAGTTTAATGACTGCTTTCCTAACATAGTGTGACATGTGTCCACACATTATCACTAAACTCAGCTCAGAATGTACTCTGCACTCAGTCAAAAGGATATGGGAAGCAGGCTCACAGGAGAGATGGGAACATCAATGTGCTCTCCCATCACATGGTGAGAAAGCAGGTGGCAAATATACATACCCTGACAAACAACCATTAAGTTAATTAATTTAACTTCATAAAATACAGTTGTGAGATTGAATATACCATTAACTAGACTACAGCAAATATTTGTGTGCGAGAGTATCTTAGGGGTCAAGCTGCATCATTGCAAAAGAGGGGATAAATGAGCCCTTCAGATGTCAAACACCTACGACGCTTCACTATGGACAATGCAAGCAAAGTTTATCAGAGCTGCAGCCCAACAACATCTGGAGCATCATAGAATAGAATCATAGAAACATACAGTTGGAAGACACTTCATGGGCCATCCAGTCCAACACCCTGCCAAGAAGCAGGAATATTGCATTCAAAGCACCCCTTACAGATGGCCATCTAGCCTCTGTTTAAAAACCTCCAAAGAAGAAGCCTCCACCACACTCCAGGGCAAAGAGTTCCACTGCTGAATGGCTCTCACAGTCAGGAAGTTCTTCCTCATGTTCAGATGGAATCTCCTTTCTTGTAGTTTGATCACTTCTGCACTGGCCAACTTCACCATTTTTGGACCCTTAGCGATTTGCAATGTCACTCAAAGTTGTGACTGAAAGTGACCTTGGACTATATCAGTGGTTCTCAACCTATGGGTCCCCAGGTGTTTTGGCCTACAACTCCCAGAAATCCCAGCCAGTTTACCAGCTGTTAAGATTTCTGGGAGTTGAAGGCAAAATATCTGGGGACACACAGATTGAGAACCACTGGACTATATTTAGGTTAAAGGCCCCTAAGATACAATTTAGCATCCAAACAATGCCCCTCAGATATTTTTTGAATGATATTTCTTTTTCTTTCTCTTGTTTAAACAATAATGTGAAAGGATCCAGTGGCCCGTGGCTAGAGTCTGCTGGACACACAATTCTTGTTGCTAATTTAGAGAGAGGTCTGAAATGTAGTTTTGATCTTTATCCCCACGATATCTCCTGCTCTTTTTAAGGCAATAAAACGGCACCAAGATAACATGTATGGGTCATTCCAGTTCTCCCTTTGGAACTTGGAGGCTCGTGTGTAATCTTTTGACAATTTTGTAGCTAACCAGCATTCAGTTCCATTCAAATCAATAATGCTATTACAGTGAAACAAAGGGAAACACTATGATATTTGTAGCTTTAGGTTGTTAATAGCCTATCATGACACAAGTATTAAATCAAAGCAGGATGTAACTAAGGTGGAATTGATGCTGAGGCTTTCTTTCAACATTTGTGAACAAAGATGCTACAACAGCTCCCAATGCAAAAACTTCTCCAAATCTGTTGTTAAAGCAGTCCTACAGTCTCTTCTAATTAGGTGTCAGTTCTGTTTTCTGACTGTGAGATATTCTTTCATAGAAAAGAGTACACCTAACATTTCTCAAAGCACCCAGCTTGGGGGTCCCAGATTTCAGACTCCTTCTGATTTTAGCTAAACCATGGCCTTTTCCCCACTTTTAAAACAATCACACACACTCTCTCATCAGTCCTCAGCTCTCTCCTGAAACATGAACAACTGGGAATAAAGCCAAAGGGGCACTTTCAGTAATGGCGTTTAAATTGTATCCTCTTGTTCCCAGGAGAATTTGGCAGGGTCGCTTGTATTTACACCTTGTTTGCCAACCCTTCTTCTCTAGGATTTCCTGGACATGATTTGTCACAGTCAATATTTCCTTCAGGAATACAACAAGATTTCAGCTTAATTCTTGGCAGTGACTTTCAAGGCAAACTACTGTCTGGAAACTAACACATCTGCACAATCCATATCATTCACACCATTATATATCAAAAGTGTAATGCTAGAAAATATTGACAATTTCCACTACCTAGGCAGCCACCTCTCCTGAAAACTCAACATCATCCTAAAATACAACACCACCTGAGCTCAGTAAGCACAGCATTTTTTTTTAAATGGAGTAGAGTGTTTGAGGATTGGGACATCTGTAGATATCAGGATGCTTGTTTATAAAGCTATTTTCCCACCAACTCTGTTATATGCCTGCAAAACATGGACCGTCTACAAACGTCACTCTTGACTTTTGGAACAATTCTGTCAGTGTTGCCTTTAAAAATCCTACAAATCTATGGGGAATCTTTTGGAGTTTAAACAATGTTTTATGGTATATAAGAACAAACTGTGTCTGAGTATTATGGTCTACTAAGGGCTCTATATCCCATTAGTGAAGATAATACTAGTGTTGGGACATAGGAGAAGGATTTCTGAGTTATGACATAGGTAAGTATTTTTAAGTTGTGGAATGCCCTCCCCTTGAAAACCCGATTGGAACCAACAGTGGTTTCACTTTAGAATGACACTAATTTTGCCATCTGTTGGTTGTGCTTTGTTTATTTCTGCATAGCAAGGGGTTGGACTAGATGGTCTATGTGGTCTCTTCCAACTATCAATGACCAACAAACATTTTGGTGACTCAAATGTTAGACCTGTTTCTGGGTATATCTGACCTTGTGATTCCAAAAATGGTGTGATTTTCCCCCTATGAGCTCTAGTTTTTGAGATACAGAATATATGGAATCTACCAGTTGCCATCTGCTTGCGCGGATGGTTGGGCTGTGTGATTCTTTCATTTAATTTAGGACCAAAGTGAAAGCAATGCTACTCACCAAGGCTTCTGGGATGCACCGATTCATCTCAAATACTTATGCATATAGTTTTCTGATTGACTGGTCCTTTGTTCAAGCATGAATCTTGATAACTTACATCCTTGCAAGGGAAATATCATAGTTCTGATAACTGGGTCTGCCGTTTAAAGCATGTAACTATTTTGTGCATGTACTGATTGAGAACATTCTTACTGGAACATGGTGTGGAACTTAAAACAATGAAAACAAAAAGTTTTGTGAACAAAAAAAAAACCTTCTTTTGGTCCACAACTCCCAAAATGGTCCAAACTGGTAGGTTTGGGCAGTTATAGTCTAAAAAAGTGACATTTTCTAGCTCTGTGACAAAGGATTCTATTGTGCTCTATGCTCTGAACTCTAAAGCTGTGCTCAGACAGTGACTCTTCATAGCAAACGAGAAATAGCTGTCACTCTGAATTTGCTCCAGCTCACCAGCCCCCAAATCCAACAGAACATACGTTCCAACCTATGAGAACAGCTGACACACTTCTTCTCCCTGACAGAGCTAACTCCTGTGAGCCTGATGGCTGTGATCAGCCACAGGCTTAGCAATAAGCATGCCAAAGTGAATCTCATATTGTCTAGGAAAATGCCAACGATAGTACTTCAAATGGGCTAATATCTTGACAGCGTTGTCTGCTAGTCAAAGAAGGGAATTAAAAGAGGACATATTAACACTGGGCAAAAACACCCCAAAGGCACCAAATCTTGTCTCATCTTGGAAGCTATGCAGGGCCAGTCCTGGATAATACTTGGATGGCAGACTGCTAGTGAATACCAGGTGCTATAGGCTACATTTCAAAGGATGGAACTGACAAAACGACCTCTGCGTATTCTTTCCCTAAGAAAGCCCTATGAAATTTATAGGATCTCCAAAGGTCAAAAGCGAACTTGAAAACACATCCATACACATAATACTAACACATCATAAAGCATTCAATACGATGAGATTAAAATGTGACAGCAGCTATTGATAGATTTTTTTCAGTTAGCCTAAAGAAGGAGGATGAGAAAAGGAAATACAGATGCAGTTTGAGATGGTAAGAATATTAATAAATCTGTTTTAGGATTTTAAAATGGAATAATCATATACAATGATAATTCTGCTCAATATTCCCCTTGTATCTGACATCCCAAAGTGTCTCATAGGAATTATTTGGTGGAGAAAAGCCCATACCTTGTTCTGTGAACCTTATTTCCAGTGGAGTAAATGGGTGTCTTGAGCAAAAAATATTTTTTGTGTGTGCAGGAAAATTTGTTTTCAGAATAAAATGCAGTTTTTGGCACAGGAAAGCATGTTTTTTTCTTTTAAGAATAATTCTCATGCAACACTTTGGGACAGTCTAATGTGGGGAGAATACTGTGAAGTAATATTTTTTTCCTCCATATTCAACAATTCATCAATAATTTACACAACCAGAAAGGACCCTTCCCAGTAAGTAGTTCTAAGGACAAAGCACATTCTAGGAACCTCAACAGAATTTATATTAAAGTCTTCACAATTAAAGCAGTTTGCCTTTTAAAATTGTCTACAACAGGCTCATCTCAGATATTTCAGTTTGTGACACACCATCATTCAGTGACTTGATGATACATTTCATCGCAGCTTTTACAAGTGTCCCACAATGCCCACATTTTGCTTTCATCTGTTAGACAAGAGACTAATTCTGAAATAATATAATTTTAGAAGACATTAATTCCACCTCTACCATATTAGGGATGCTAATATTTGACTAGCTCATTCTCCTAAGTGAATACTTTTTAACACTTTCCTTTCTGCTTCAAAGAAAACAAATATTTTGTGCAGTTCTCATCCAGTATCCGAACAATCTCTAGTTTTTCCAGAAATTACAGTATTTTCACGAATCTAAAGCTTATGTTTTTTGACTAAATGGCCTTGCCAAAATTGGAGTGCGCATGAGATTTGCATCATACACTAATCTTAGTGCGGAGCCAAAGGAAAAAGGGAAGGTGATATGGTGAACTGTTTTAATGTATATTTATAACTATTTTTAATTTTACTAATTGTATTGTATGTTATGTTTTATATGATGTTGGCATTGAATAATGCCTGTTGGTAGCCATCCTGAGTCCCTCTTTGGAGGTGAGCAGGACAGGATATGAATGTTCAAACAAACAAACAAACAAACCAATAAGGTGCTTCAGGAGCTGCATCTGGAGCTCCTGTGTGAGAGACATCATCTCTAATGAAATGGCTAGGGATCAATGCTATGCAATCCTGGGATTTGCAGTTTGGTGAGGCACCAGCATTCCTTGGCAGAGAAGCTCCTGGATTCCATAGCACTGAACCAAGGCAATTAAAGTGCATTCATTCTACAGCGTAGGTGCATCCAAAGGTTTTTCTTTCCATTACTCTGATGTTCTAACACAATTGTTTTTTCAAATGAAGGGCTTCTAAGCAGGAAGCAACAGTAATGCACACCTTACAAAGAAGACACTTTTGTCGCTTTTTTGGTTTCAGGGTATTGAAAATTGAGGTGTGCATTAGATTTGATGGCGCATTTGACTCAAATAACTATGGGTATTCTGCACAGAAATAATTTTCTACATAGTCACTCTGGTCATAGCTAGACCCAACCCTGCTATGAAATGCATTCTTCTGTTTCCCCCCAGAAAAAGAAATGGCTCTGAAAACACTTCACATAAATGCTGTGCTTCTATGGAGGTACAAGTTGCTCACATTGCCTGCAATTCATAAGGACTCACAAAGCATAGCTGTTGTGTAAGCAGACCTATAGTAGGTTGATCCCTATACATCCCTTCAATCTCAGATTTATCACACCACTCTGCAAGGCATTTCATGTAGCATTTTATGGAGATCCATAAGAAATGGGCAGGAACAGAGAAGCATCTGGCTATGTCACCATAGCCGGACTTAGAATAATTACAGCAGTACTGAGATTTATTATGGTCCTCCAGAAGCCTTAGTGTTGATGTAATTATTTTGTGTCTGGCTATTTTGTGTCAGGCACTCTTCTGATTTTGCAGTTTCTGATGGCCATACTTGAAAGGGGGGGGGGGGCTTCCAAAATCTGTATAGTAACAGAGAGGGGGGCATGGTAATGGGAGAAAGAAATATAGAGGCATAAGAGAAACATTTGCATTTGTCCCTAAGAGAATTGCAGCCATAGAATGTCCAATAATAAAGATATTGCACAAGACACATAACAGTTATGTGCCTTCACAGCACAATTGTGCCTTCTATCAGGGTCCCAAATTTGTACAGGATGTCCATTCATATACGGTCATAAGCATTTGGAACTTGCTTCTGAAACAAATATGCACACTTCGAACATGACATAAAAGCTCTTTGACTTCTGAACAGCATTCTTTCTCTGGGATCTCAACGAAGAATATACACAGGCAAAGATCAAAGCAAGAAGAGGTTAGTGTGATCTATAGCGCATTTCTCTGAACATCAGTGCAATAAACATGGTAACTTACAGATGATAAGGCATTCTTCAGTCCAACTATCTGAGCAGATGGTGATGAGACTGCATCATGATCAAACATCTGCTTTAGCTTCTCTCTCTCAGTTGATATTGTACTAAAAGCCGACTTTAAGGTAAAGTACACTAGAAAAATAGTTTAGAAATATCTGTGTTACATAAGAACAACATAATCAGGAGGTCAAAATGTAGGCAAATTCAGTGCAATATACTAGAATCAGAAAAACAGAGAAACAGGCAAGAGCATAAACTTGTTTTTAGAGATGATTTTTAAAAACAGTGTTTATGTAAACTATTTGAGTTGTCTTGATTAGTGAGATATAAATATCAAAACAAAACAACCAAAAAGAAGACTAGGCTACATCATTAAAAAGTAAGCACTTCATTAAAGAGGAAATGTCAGTTATACAATTCGTTCTCTGAGTCTCAGTTCACAAGATTTATTTTGACTAAAGCCTTAGCATACATTATTTGGATGGATAATTTCAGAATTGCCCAAGGGAACTGGCTAAAGACAAATGATTTGCTTGAGCAAGCCACAATTTCTCAGCCATAAGTAAAGGTTTCCCCTGATGTTAAGTCTAGTTGTGCCCGACTCTAGCGGTTGGTGCTCATCTCCATTTCTAAGCCGAAGAGCCACTGTTGTCCATAGACACCTCCAAGGTCATGCGGTTGGCATGACGTATGGTGCACCGTTACCTTCCCGTAGAAGTGGTACCTATTGATCTGCTCATATTTGCATGTTTCGAATGGCTAGATTGGCAGAGGCTGGGGCTAACAGCGGGAGCTCACCCTGTTCCTTGGATTCAAACTGCCGACCTTTTGGTCAGCAAGTTCAGCAGCTCAGCAGTTTAACCCACTGCACTACCAGGGGGGCCTTCTCTCAGCCTTAGAAGAAGGCAAATGCAACTTCTCTTTGACCAATTTTGCTAAGAAAACTCTGTGATAGTTTCCTCTTAAGACAGCTATGTTTCAAACATGACTTGAAGCCATACAGAGGGAGATATAACATGGGGAAGAGTTAACATTCCCGTTGTGTTTCTTTTGCTGTCTGTGCCTCTGTTCAGAAGATGTCCCCTCACTTTCTGTCTCTATGATAATTGGATTTTGAAAAAAAATTGCATGTTGTGGAAACAAGGATTGGTGAGAAAGTATCAGTGGAGACACTTTTTTCTCCATGATAACTCTTTCAGGAGTGGATTTCCCTTCCAAGGGTTAGATTTCTCTCACTTCCTGTTGTTTCACCCCTGTTCTTAACTGTGAAATACATAATAGATAAAATAAAATACATCAACATAAAAACAATAATAAATTATATAAACCAAGTTTTTAAATTGAATAAAACCACCTCTATTAAAATAGAATAAATTAAAAGATCTATGTAATCAATATAGCAGCCCAGCCGAATGCACAAAATGTAGATATAAAGTGCTAAGTGACTGGCAATCAGTTCTGGTTATTGTCTAAACATTATCAAATGCTGCTGGAAAAAACAGGTTTTTAGGAAAGAGTTTTCCTAAAGTGTTGTAGTGTAGGGGCTTATCTAAGTTTACTGGGGAGGGTGTTCAAGAGCCAGGGCACCACCACTGAGAAGGTCCCTTCCCTTGTCCCGGCCAACCGCACTAAAGGCGGAGGTGAGACAAGAGTAGGGTCTTCCCAGCAAATCTTAGAGCCCGCACCAGTTCATAGGGGGAGATGTGGTCACGAAGATAGGCTGGAAGCGAACTGTGTAGAGATTTATAGGTGATAACCTGCACTTTGATTTGGGACCGGAAAATTATTGGCAGCCAGTGGAGCTGCTTCAATAGGGGCATGTACTTGATGCTATTGGCTAATTTAATTCCACAGAAGTCACGATGTAATGAAAATTGCTCATTTGGAGTATAGTTCCCAGAATACTGGGCTCTAAGGTGACAGTTTCAAGCCTTTATGGGATTATGATATTCTAAATTTATTCCAACAGAGCCATGTGAGAAAACAGGATCCAGCTGTTTCTAGAGTATGATTCATAGAGCCATTTTAAACTAGCAAGATCAGGCTAATAATTATTTCACTATGGCTGCAAGGTTTGAGCTACTTCAATATAATCTCACCACTTAAAATTGAATTAGTGTGTGTAGGTGGGGTGACTTTGGGTCTTTCAGTTATTGCACTGCAATCTCTATGAGCCTTTGCCAGTATAGTGATGTTGAGTGCTGCAATAAAAAAAATATTGGAGGGCCACATGATAGGTCTAAAATAATCATGTGTTAGTTATGAGAAAAGTAAGAGCTTGATGACAAGGTTGACTATACTGTGGAAGGTAGAGAATTAGGAAGTCAGTGCTTTTTTAAAACGTCAAGAAAAGAGGGAGGTCACCACTGACTGATTTCTGTGCTTAATAAAGATCTCAAAATATTTCCTAATTGTAAAAAGTTGAACATGAGATTTCAGCAAGGACTGTATCTGTTTCCCTTATAACTAAATCTGCTGTGTGTAGATAGATGAACCATTTATACTCAGTTGGCTCAAGTGAAAAGCTACTGCTTTATTTATTTATTTTGCAAAAGGCTGACTCTTGCCAGCCTAAGCTGGCCTTCTAGCTCCTTAAAATGATTTTTTCCCTCTTCCCCAATTACTAAAAATAGGTTACTGCCATAGCAACCTCCTTACATCACAAATGCCAACTCTGAAATTTAGCAAGCTACTTGGAGCATGTGTACATATAAAGCCAGATGTAATCTACCACTGCATTTTCGGATAAAGATTTTAACAAATGCCTTCGGGACAGAAGATTCCAGCAACTTACATTCAAACCAGCAGTCTAGACTATTCAGCTTGCATGCAATTGGTTCATCACAAATAGTCTAAGGCTTTTTTGTTTGAGCATGAAGAACCAGCTACAGAGAATTATGTGACGAATGGGAAGATATTACAAAATGCCCTTAATGCATGCAGGCAATTTTCTAGATGGCCTTTACAACCTGCCTGCATAAACAAATTTATGCTTTAGTTCAGAGCAAAATAAGGTAACTAGCCTAATTCAATCTGTGGTTAAAAACAGTTCAGTGGTTAAATACAATATTTCACATGGCTTTTACTTGAATACCCCAGATCTTGTGATATGGGGAGCAATACATAAACAAAGAAACAATTCATGATTGATAACTCTTTCATTTTCAATCAAAAGAATGACAGAGCAACATATTAAAGACAAAAAAGGCTTTAAAATCATAACTTTAGGGCAAGCTGTTATTTTACTTGCTTGCTAACAGCCTTAATAACTTTTATTACAATCACAGTAAATATAAATACAATCTGGTTTACCTTTATGTGCTATGTGACACAGGTCTTCCTGCATTTTAGAAAACTCTGAAGTGGTCTCAGAACCATTCGAATAAATTTTCTCTTCAGCAAAATCTAATGTAGATAAATTAGGATTGGAAGCATGCAGCCTCAGTGGAGCAGAAAGAACACTTGGAACCTACAAAGAACAAAAACACCAGCTTCTGATATTAATAATAGTGCTAACAACAATAACAACAGAAACAATAATAAACCCCAGGTTGTCAGATTCAAGATTTGCCAAAGGAACGAAAAGAAACTATTTAGTCTCCAAAATTAAGAGATAAGAGTTTATTTAAGTTTGTCATGTAGTTTACACAAAACATTAATTAAGGGCCTGAAAATCCTGCTTAGGTGAGATTTATCTTTCAGGCTTTTGCTCTCCCTCCCTAAATTTCTTTCCCATTTCAGATTTACAGATATTTCTTTTAAATTACCCTATGGAGGACTTTCTCATAGCAACATCAGAGGCACTCCAAGTGGTCAAATGACATTTAGCATATTGCCAAATTTTGAAACACATTATAACTGTACCCTCAATTCGCTTCTGACATGATAAATAAATAAATAACGCCGTCTTTAACCCTCTGCCATTGGGAGCCCCTAGTGGTGAAATGGGTTATACCCTTGTGCTGGCAGAACTGTTGACTAAAAGGTCGGCAATTTGAATCCGGGGAGCAGGGTGAGCTCCCATTTGTCAGCTCCAGCTCCTCATGCAGGGACATGAGAGAAGCCTCTGACTGGATGGTAAAACATCTGGGTGTCCCCTGGGCAACGTTCTTGCAGATGGCCAATTCTCTAACACCAGAAGCGACTTTAAGTTTTGCTCCTGACAGGGAAAAAAAATTTCTTCAAATTTCTAGGGGAAACAAACAGTCTCCAGGTTTCATTGACCTATAGTTCCCAGCATTTCTCATCATTTGCTAGATTTGACCGGGTTGGCTGAAAGTTGCAGTCCAAGAAGATTTGTAGGACTGTTTAATTCCCACCCCAGTATGAGACTGGATACTCTCCCACTTAGGTTAACAATGAAAGTTCTTTTTAACTGTTTTCTATCTTCTGCACAAGCTCATTTGCTAACAATACCCTTTCATGATTATATTCCTCATGTTCTGCAAAGAACCTGTTCATTAATATTCACACTGTTATGCAAAATTTTGTGAAATAATCCCAGCATCACCATACCCAAAGGATTCTAGGACTGACTTATGCTCTAGTCCTAGGGTAAATTATCTTTTTGTCCATCGGTCTATGTTTATTTTTTTCTAGCTTTCCTTTTTCTAGGCCCAACATATTTCCACTTAGTTTGGGCAGGCAGTTACTTATCTGTTACTCACCTGGAAGTGTGCACTCCAACTCCTCATTAAATGTTTTGCTGAATTCAGGGGACTAGGGGTATGGGGAGAGAAAAGGTAAGGGGCAGGATTGCTAGGCTAAAGTGTGGCCACAGCAGAAGCGTATTGGACAGTTTATTAGGGGTTGGCATTTGACCGGTCACAAGCAAAAAGAATGAGAAACAAAACAAAAAAATCTCGGTCAATTGACTGGCCAAATCAAAAGCAAGTATTTATAAGTGTTATTCCTCCCTGTCCCACCCCCATGATGACAAAGAACAAAGAAAACTTTGCTAACTCCAGAATATATAAAAAGACTTCACTCACTCCCACAGGCGCTTTACAGATCACATGGTGGGTCACTAAGTGGAATAATTATAGGTTTTGCCACCTTCCATTTGTAAACACTTTTATAACTTTTCATTAATTACAGTAGGACCCCATATCCACTGGGGATACTTCTGCAGACTGTGTGTGGATAAGTGAAACTGCAGATAATAGTTGAAATGAAGGATTTTCCAACCCTAGAATAGCGTATAGTCATGCTGGAGGATCTAGAAAATGCCTAGAGAAGGCATGGATAAATGAAATTGCAGATATGGGAAGGTGTGCTGACTCTTTCTGAACATAAACAGAGTTATCTGTTCCCCAGGATAAAAGAGCTTCATTTGGGAATGCTCTACAGACAACACACTTCTAAGATGAGCAAATTGACTGGCCTGTTGAATGCAGATTCGCAGTTTAGAGAATATCTTTGAAGATGACAGTGGCCCTATAGATGCTATACATACTTGATGGTTTGGGCCAAGACAGAAGACCATTATTGGACCGAGAGGAGCTATGAGCTATATTTTGGTCCACCTAACATGGCTGCAAGGCCATGTTAGCTGGACTTGCAGCCAGCTAACATGGAACATAGAATCTGGTTACCCTAAAGGCACCAGATTCTATCTGATCTTTGAAGCTAAGCAAAGAAAGCTAAGATTCTATCTGATCTTTGAAGCTCTGGTTAGCACTTGGATTGGATAGTGGGTGCTGTAGGCTATATTTTAGAAGGAACTGCCTGAGTATTTTTTAACCTAAGAAAACCGTATGAAATTGATGGGGTTGCCATACGTCAACAGGCGACTTGAGGGCACACACACACACAACATGTTTGCAACTCATATTCTGATCATCAAATGTACCTTAAATATGAGAGTAATCACTTCTTTTTTCCACTTTTCTGGACAGAGGGAGGAGACGGAGCAGCACAAAACTAATCTTTCATACCACACACACATGAACTACATTGCCGATGAACTACCACTACCACAATGCCTTGGTAAACACTTTGTACTCAGGGACAGTGCACAAACATGAACTTTACCAGCTAGGTTGAATTATTTTTCTCCTCGTTCTTTGCATTACCTGGCAGACATCACAGAGGGTGGAATTGCTGCTAGTAAGTCACCTACAACAGTGCCTCTCTGAAAACTGCTTGTATATGATTTTATGTCAATGTCTCCTACCTAAACTATGTAATTTTGTTCATAGACTGCTGTGGCTACAGCAAAGAATCAGCAGAAAAGCTGAGCTGTGTTAACTGAAATTGAGAAAAAGATCTGCAGAAATTTTCAGAGACGACTGAAAAATGGAAGTTGACTGCAAAAGTGAGTTGTAGGTTCAGGGTAGTCACATAAAAAAGAGAGCAGGGTTTTAACTTCCAGATAATTGTTATAAGTACAGGAACCTTTGATTTTTCATTATGGCTATCTTAAGTGCGTTCACATTGAACAAGCAACTATCATACATTGCTTGGAAGCACTAAAAACGAGATAAAGTTGCAACTTTTATTCTTTATGAAATGTTGAAGGAGGATGAAGATGACAATAACATTTGACCAGTCAATTGACCAGTACTCTAGCCTCACAGCTTGTATACAACTATGCTTTCATTTGGATCTTGCCAATCTATCAGTCCTCCAACTGGCATCCCTTTTAAGGCTTAAGAGAGAGATCTTTTTCAGTCCACTTTTGGTACTGGCACAATATATCGTGCATGACACTGCAATGCCCCATCTCCCTTCTCAAACCCTCTAAACTCAGTAAACTAAATAAATGAGCATCAACCAGATAGAGAAATCCATCCATGGATGTAAGCATTGTTTATTATGTCAATAAAACCTCAATGAATGAAAAATCCAGTAAGTTAGCACCCTTTGTACTATATACCGCTTACATTATTTATTTATTTACAACATAAATAAACATCCCGCGCTTTTCATCCCCAAAGGTGACTCAGACTGGCTTACAAGTTATATGTACCTACAATATATATTATTAGCATAGCACAATATTAGTATTATATATTGCTATACTGTACTATACCACTATACCGTAATATTATTTGTAATATTGCATGTAATACAAAATACATTAATTATTATATTGTATTATTATTAGTATTGTGTTGCATTACATTATAATATTACTATCAATATATGTGTATACAATATTAGCACAGCACAATATTAGTATTATATATTTCTATATTGTACTATACCACTATACTGTAATATTATTAGTAATATTACATGTAATATAATCTTATTATTATATTGTATTATTAGGATTATATTCTATTACATTAAAATAATATTATCAATATTATATGTGTATACAATATATTTTATTACTAGAACAGCACAATATTAGTATTATATATTACTATGTTGTTGCTGGGGGAGGGGTTCCAAACTGATGACCCAGGAGACATGGTGGAACTGTCTTCCTGGCTCCCCTTTATCTGAATGAAATGAAATCATTATCTGTCATGAAGGCTGTTTACGACAACTTCTTGGGAGTTGTGGTCCAAGAAGTAATGTATCCAAACTCTGCTATATTAGGCTGAGGCACAGGATTAGGGGTAAAGGGTTGGTTACCTGCAACATTGCTTTAGTGTCTTTACCAAGGGCTCGGGAACGCCACCTTCTATGCGACCTTTTTTCCTTTTTAGGACTTTCAAAAGGGATGCCCTTTAGAATAGCACATGGGGAAAAGGAGAAAAAGAAAAACATCATTTGACACAACTCTAGAAAGCATGTTCAGATGAGCTAACAACAGCATGACCTACCAAAGAGGCAATTTTCACAACAAACCTGCATGGCATTTATGGCTGGTGCTGAGTATGTCCTATGGAGAACTTCCATGCTTTGCAAAAGCTGGCTCATCTCCAAGAGATAGCTATGACAATGGGAGAGTTCTGTTGGGAAAAAAGAATGGATTTTCAGAGGCTTTGTAAGCATAGGGGAGAAAGAAGAAAGACAGGCACCAGATTGCACAGCTATTTATGGACTGGTTATAGGGTGCAATAATTTATCTGACAGTTTTCATCCTAATAGTATTCAAGAAGGAAAACAGATTTTAAAATGAAATAGACTCAAATAATGTAATTCAGAATTGCAAATAATTGTTATTAAGCCAAGGTACTGCTGTTTTAGCAAACTCAACATGGGAGAACAAAATACACTATCACTGCATGAACAACTTTCTAAGTTTTTCGGGCTGTATGGCCATGTTCCAGAAGCATTCTCTCCTGACATTTCACCTGCATCTATGAGGTCTCACAACCTCTGAGGATGCCTGCCATAGATGCAACCAAAACCTCAGGAGAGAATGCTTCTGGAACATGGCCATACAATCCGAAAAACTTACAATCCTTTGTGGGAAATGATAAGAGATTTTACCAATATCTTTGAATGCAGAACATTACTAAATTTCAAGGGGAGATGTGCACACAATGCTTTGATCTGTAGCATAAAAATGTCACCTAGAGACATTTTTATTATTAAATGCTCCTTGTTTAAAGAGATTCTGAGTTGTATGGTATGAAATTCTAATAAAAACTGAAGTAGTAAAATTGAGCTAGATCTAAACTGGCCTGGAAGAGATATTCTATCCATATATTTGGTCCTCCATGTGTTTTGGACATTATCTCTCAGAAGCACAAACAAGATTGGCCAATGGTCAGAGATGGAAAGCGACATTCTTGGCTTACTGTTGGACTTGTAGACTGGGGTGCACTTTTCCCTGGGAAGCCAATAGATAGTGTACATCCAAGATTTGTATAGTACAGATGCAAAAAACCCCCAAACAAACAAGAAATACAAAAACCACAAAGGCATGACCCATCTCCCATCTTAAAACACACACACACACAGACAGAAACTGTGCAAGTAATGAGAAATGTGCAGGTTAATAACAGGAAAATTCACTCCTCCAGCCCATTCTCTGTATTTGTATCTTTTCTTGGATGCAAAATGTCAAGCTAATGCAAAAATGTATTAAAGTCACTGATACAAATTATCATGTATACTCATGTATAAGTCCAGAAATTTTAGTTAAAAATCACTGTAAGCCCTGGGGTGGCTTATCTCCAGGTCAATGCCCATCCCCTTCTCTGAATAGAGTGGAGAAAAGTAAGAGCTTACTCCATCCTGGGAGAACCTAAAAGAAGCACCAAACCCCTCTTCTATGTCAGTTGTGTTTCTACTTTTGGCCTTTTTTAATGTTTGTTTGGGGAAACTAGCATTGGTGTTTTCCCCTCTCCATAATTTTGGACTCTAAACCTGATCTCAACTTATACATGAATATATATGGTAACTCTTTCTATATTCCTCAGCAGCCATTAACATTTAGCCATGATGCTAACAAAGATTCCAAAACCCATCCACCTACTGACAGAGATCCAATGCATTATACTCCCACTCTCACTATTGTAGGTCAAAATTGCTTTTTCAAATCCTTAGTATGCGGAGAGGGCAAGTGTATTGGGAGAGGACAAAGAAGGAGAGAAGAATAAAAGTTCATGGATGTGGTTTTGGAAAGCATCGCAGTGCCATATATTGTTCAACTGTGTATTTCCTTTCCTAACTCCATTTCTAATTTGTGAAAACTTGCTTTAAAATCTAGATTCTGGAACATATGACATGTGACAACCACTAAGTCACAGAGAAGCACACATTACAAATGATCTATAAATGCCCAATAACATAAAAATTTGGATTCTGTTTTTTTTTTTTTGAAAAATTACCTTTGGAGCATCTTTCCATCTCTTCAGAAGAATGTAGCCAAGGCGGGATCCTTGACTCATTGGCTGAACAGGAGAATGACAAACTACTTCCAGTCTGCACTGAATTTTGTTGTGTCAGGGTGCCTCTCTGTTTCAAGGAGGCAAGACTTCATTACCGAATAATATATTCCAAAGTATAGCTTGCAATATATATTGTAAAAATGAAATAAATACCCTAATTGCTATGTTATATGAACTTGAAAGTCTAATACAGAGATCTGCATATCTATCTATCATCTATCTATCTATCTATCTATCTATCTATCTATCCATCTATCGTAACTCCCCAAATTATGAAGGCCGTATACATTAAAAGCTCTGTTTGACTTGATGTTAATCAGGTGGATAGCAATGACACACATCTATCAACAGTTCGCTTGTGGCTACAACCCTTTAAAGAGCAGTGGCACATGCCAGAACTTCAAATGTTATCCAGTTGCTTATCATAAACCAGCTTTCCCCAAATAGGGACTATCAAGATGTTTTATACAGCCTCCATCATTTCCACAAATACTGTTAGCTAGCCATCCCCTGCCATGCGTTGCTGTGACCCAGTCTGTGTATATGTGTTTTGGGTGTGTATATGTGTGTGTATATATTTGTGTATATGGGTGTCTGCGTATATATATATGTGGTTTTGCGCATGTGTTGTAATGTAATTTGTTTTTAGGCTTTTAAAGTCTCTTCTGCTGTGTTTTTCAGTGTTTTTATGAGTGACGGTCACTCGTAGGCCTGATAGGTGTATTGTGTCCAAATTTGGTGTCAATTTGTCCAGTGGTTTTTGAATTATGTTAATCCCACAAATGAACATTACATTTTTATTTATACAGATGATGAGGGCTCATGGAAGTTGCAACCCCAGATATCTAAAGAGCAGCAGATTGGAGAAAGCGAGTCTATGACGAAGTATTAGTCCATCTATGGAAATCTAGGGGAGTTACACCATTTTCTCAAGTCCCTGATCAACCAGGAAGATAATTAGATGCGACTAGAGAGACTTATCTGAGCCTAGAATAAGATAAATGAAGACAATGCACTTTGTATTCTACAAAATAGCAAAGAAACACATGCTCTTTATCATCAATTAGCCCATGTGAAGTTTTGACTTGATGTTTTAACATTATGACTTCAGGCTTAGAAAATCCCATGCAGTTTCCAGTAAATGCCAGAAAGAGCTGAATGCTCATTGACACTCTTGACATATAATTGATTAGCAATAGTAGGGCAATCTCAGTTATTGCAGGTAGCAGAAACTCCTCAAATGCCATTCATCAAATACATTCCATACACAGAGCTCAGACCAATTTCTACCCTGAGGCAAGATCATAATCTACAAAAACATTTTTTTTACCTTTCTGCTTGTTGGGGATTCCAAAAAGCCAGTTACTGAATCTGTAATAGAAGATGATGCTGGGAAGAAATGATTGTTGATATCATGTGGAAACATGGAAATTTCATTTTGACGATACATTCTATGATGTCGAAGCTTTGCTACCCATTCATCAAAGACTTCCTGAGATTTTGCCTAGAACGAAATTGAGGTTATTGAAAACAGTAACTCTAGTTTGACAAATTACTAGAATGCAACACAACTTGATTGAAGCGTTCTGTTTATTTCTTCTCAGTATGGTCAATGGCCAGTATGGTTCAATATTGCAGTAATGGGTTCCTAATCTTGAGTTATGGATGTGTAATTGATTTGTATTTAGTAGTCTGGGGTCCCATCTACACTGACCATTTAATGCAGTTCATAGCTAGTTTTAAACTGCAGTGGCCAGACAGCAAACTCCCACAAATCTGGCATGACGAAGTTGCAGTCTACTCCCTCCTTTGCAGGGGGGTTCTTGAAATTTTCCAAGGAATCAATAAAGTAACAGCGAAATATAAACTGGTTGGTCCACTAAGCATTTTAATTCTTTTGGAGCAGCAGTATAAACAATCAGAAGTTCCAGTAACACAACTATTCCACCCTCCCCGCATCTCCTAATATGAAGTTCCAGGTCTCAGAACTAGATTCCATATTTAATTCAAATGCAAATTTTCTCAAATGTGGTCACAACACCACATGTTGGTACCATTATCTACCGATTTCATCTTTCATGCAATATGGCTCCATTGTAGTTTTATTAGGGCCCATCATGCCCATTTTCCATCTACATGTGTAGCACAAGCGAACTACTAATTTACCACAAAATTCTAAAATAGTGGCTCATTAAAAGAAAACTTTGGGCAAAAACATACATTCTATCACAAATATCTATTCTGATAAAAATGCTTCAAAGTAAACCTCAGGAAATCCAGTACTAGATACTTAAATCCTGGCTTCAATTGCACATTTCTATGATACCAGATTTTTTAAAGCCATGAGACAGCAACCATACCAGGAATGAAAGTTTGATTTATTTTACCTACAGTGTTATTACTGAAGGTCAAAAAATTAATTATTTTGCAATAATTATTAAAAGTAAGTATTGCTTCAATTTTTGGATAGTCCGCACCATGTTACTGTCACTACAGGAACTAGGAGCCCCCAGTGGTGCAATGGGTTAAACCCTTGAGCCAGCAGAACTGAAGACCGATAGGTCGCAGGTTCGAATCTGGGGAGAGCATGGATGAGCTCCCTCTATCAGCTCCAGCTCCCCATTGCGGGGACATGAGAGAAGCCTCCCACAAGGATGATAAAACATCAAAAACATCTGAGCGTCCCCTGGACAACATCCTTGCAGACAGCCAATTCTCTCACACCAGAAGCAACTTGCAGTTTCTCAAGTCACTCCTGACATGAAAAAAAAACCCAAAACAACAGGGTTCTGACACACATATCTTTTAGTCCACATCAGAAGGTTAACATGTAAGATAGGCAGATTTTATTCATAAAGGTGTACCCAGAATTCATTCTCATTTTAATTTCTAAGATATATAATGATTCATGGCATTGCTTATTCCATAAAGGAATTAGACTGAACATTATAAACCTATGAAGTAACTACAAGATATCACATATTTTCTTTCAAACTATTCAACCATGGAAACACAAACTGAACTCTTACACCAATGACCAAGTCTAGATCCAAATGTGGAAAAAATACGTTTTTAAAACCCATTTTTATTTGTTTTGCTTTGTCAACAGTTTCAACAACATATGTAAAAAAATTATGCTAGTTATCTTTACTGAAAAACCAAATCAAACCAGGCTATGTCTAGCTGAAACATTCTGGATGTCTAACGATAAATGCAATCTGAACCTACCAAATAAGGAGAAAGTGAAATTGCATTTTAACAAACCTAGTGAACTGGGCATATATAGTAGATTGAAAAGGATTTTGAGAACAGAAGCAGACACATCTAAGCTGAGTGAAATATTTGCACTTAGAGGACGTATCTTGTTATTGTTTAAATATGATTACCTTTAAATGATAAATATGTTCTTCTGTATCCAAATCTATACATTTTGTTGATTTCTTCACAGACATCACTGAAAGCCCAACATCTATACATCCATGAAGCTTTCCCCTTTCTATCTGCAAAGAGATATTTAAAACAATTCAGAGAAAGGTCAGCAGAAGACACTGGACTATCTGTTTCTTTCTACTGATATCTAGCTCAGGAACAATCACTTATTTCCTTCACCCAAAACTGATATCATTCTATGAAAGCATTTTGGAACATGCTATGAAAGCATTTGGGAACATGCCTTCCAGGTACTTACATCAGCTGGGCTTTTTGCATACTTCAGAATTCCTCTATCCAGAAAAAAGCATCTCTGTAACACAAAGACAATGCTGTGAGTCAGGAAGAACAAAAAATATATTTTATGTTTTAGAGAACTGCAATGCTCTCTCAACAATGCCTTATAAGATGGGTGAAATCCCACAGATTTTAACAGTAACGAATGCCAGTATTGAACATTTACTTCTTACCTTGTGCCAGCCTTTCAGAGGCCATTTCCTTTTTTTCAGCAGGTAGCCTTCCTGTTTTTGCGGTTCCTGTGTGTAATTCATGGCTCCCCGCAGTCCTTCTACAATTTCCCAGCTGTCCTGTTTGGAGACAAGGTCCAAAATATGGTGCTTATTCTTTGTTTGCGCAAAGACCAACAGACTCAAAAGGAACATTTAAAAGGAAAGAAGCACAGATCCAATCTCCCACACTCTAATAACCTAAAGTATTTGGATTTCAATTTCCATGACATCTTTCAAATTCAGTGAAGAACAGAAGAGTGCAGACACAGAAAGAATCACAGACTGATACAGACTCAGATGTGTTTTTGACATAACGGCTGCATTCAGAGGCAAGAGTTTATCAGAACCTACAATTCTGATCTAGCAACAATTAACCAGTATATCCTGATACACAGTGTCCAACAGGCCCAATGCAAGTAGGGACAAGTGAAGCCAAGAACAAATTGAGGCTCAGCTATCACCCTATCAGGTGCTAGAAATAATATTATACGAAAGCTGACTGGCACAACCATGGGATCACAACCAGACACATCTTGCCACATTATAACAGTAGATGTGGCTCTTAATGAGACATGCTGCATTATCACAGAATGTCTAAGCCCCATATCATTAGAGAAATTATACTGTTTAGCTAGTATTGCACCACCTGACATCCTCCGAGAAGTAGCACCCAAGATTGAAAGGACCAAGGTACTGACATCTATGGCCCATCCCCTGTTTGGATATCAGCCAGCATGCCAACACTTTAAATCAAGAAACAGCTTCCTGAGATTTACAGAGTTACTCGCAGGAACACCTCAGCAAGGGAGCGTCCAAAAGTGGCAGGCTAAAACCCAGAACCTCAATCCATGGCTGAGACCAGATGAGAAACTCTCTCCTGGGCACACAGAAGAGTGGATGACCTGGAAGACGCTGAACAGGCTGGGCTCTGGCACCACAAGATGCAGAGCTAACCTTAAGAAATGGGGCTACAAAGTGGAGTCCACGACATGTGAGTGCAGAGAAGATCAAACCACAGACCACCTACTACAATGTAACCTGAGCCCTGCCACATACACAATGGAGGACCTTCTCACAGCAACACCAGAGGAACTCCAAGTGGCCAGCTTCTGGTCAAAGGACATTATACATAATGCCAAGTTCTTTTTTAAAAACTTTGTGTTTTTAAATGCATTTTAACTGTACCCTCAACTCACTTCTGACACAATAAATAAATAAATAAATAAATAAATAAGAGACAAACCAGGCTGGGTTTGGGTGTCACACCATTCCTACCTTATTCCCAGTATTAGCTTACTGTTGTATCTGGATGCATCAACAGCTACATTTGAATGTAACAGTAAACTTTGGTTTAATGAATTCATGATCGACAATGAGTAAACTATGAAAACAAGTTTATCCCTTCCAAAAACTCTAACTATAGTTTAGGAAAATGTTTCAGCAATAAGTAGAATGTAACCTCCGAATTTGATGTTGCCCCACCCATATCTTCTGGGTTTGCCTTTAAGAGCATTTCTGTCTTCAGTTACATCCAAACACTATGCCAGGGCTTGGAACACTACCCCGTAAATGCAGCTCATTGTATTATTCATTATTTGAAACAGTAGATGCGTTAGCGCCATTATTTTGCTTGTTCCATCAACAGTATCTAATTACACCAAATGGTATGTTTTAATTTTACCTGCCTCTCCTTTTTGGGAGAGGCCAGAAAGGATCCCCTTCTGGAACCCAATGGGGGCTACATCTGGCTATCCTGTGTTCCAGAAAAGTAACTTCTCCCCTGTAGCCTTTCATTAATAAACATTCATCTGCATGTACTATTTTTAGGAATATGCTGCCACATTCCTAAGTTTCTCTTTCATGGATTTGATTATTCACAAGCTTTTAGCTTTGTCCTAACAAGGTCCCCCTCCTTGCCCCCTGCTTTCAATCTCCTGTCCTTTCCAAAGACCCACTCAGACTGTAAACCTTTTCCAGTTCATCAGTCTGTAAGGTACAGTTGGAAGAACAGGAGATTAGAGGAGAGGACTATAATGTCAATACTTAGTTAAACTAGAAGGTTGGGCCAATAAATGAAAAGCAAAACATGACAAACGAGCTGTGTCGAAGACTGAATCAGCCATAAAGGCACTGCAAAGAATATCATATCACTGGAATCTTAGGTCAACTGGGAGAAATGAAAGAAGAGCATGCTCTGTGGTTAGATAGATATTTTTGGCTCCTTTTTTACCTTTATCAGGCCATATTCCTACTCTTTTTGAAACAAGAAATAGAAGTCCAGGTTCCAGAAGTCATTTAACAATAATAATAATAATAATAATAATAATAATAATAATAATAAGCAGTAATTGGAAAAGCTGACATGATATGAGGATTTAAAGATCAAACTACAAAGACCCTGGCACAAGACAGTAAAGGTGGTCCTAGTGGTGATCGGCACTGACAAAATTACCATCTGTCAGCTGCAAAAGGCCACCCTACTTGGATCTGCATGCATTATTCACTGATACATCACATAGTCCTAGAAACTTGGAAAGTGTCCGACGTGTGATCCAATACCAATCCAATCCAATCCAATAAACCTTTATTGGCATATAGTATGATCCAACACAACAGCCAGCATAGTGACCTTGTTTGCAATGTACTAATCTTGTTGTGTATGGGACTTCCAAATTCAGACTGACAGAGTTTTGGAGCACAATACTCCTTTTTTATATATATATATAATTCTTTATTGAGTTTTTTATAATACAGCGAAAGTGGGGGAATAATATAAGAAGATAGAAAAGTAGGAAAATACCCCTACCCTGATACCCGTGAAAGGGAAAGAAGAGAAAAAAGCGGGGAGAAAAAGAAAAAAGGGGGAAAAAGAAAAAAAATACACACCAAAAACCAAATTTAAAAAAGGAAAAAATCCAAAAAAGAAAAATAAAAAAAAATCAAAGAGTCAAAACTACAAAAATACAAAAATTTAAAAAAGACAAAAAAGAAAAAAGAAAACAAAAAGTGGACTCCCTTCTGATTCAGCGCGTCCAATAACTTTCGTCTTATATCTAATAAGTTCCATAACTTGTCATCCAATGTCCTCAAGTTCTTTGTATAGATTGATGTGTTGTTTCTATGTACTCTTCAACAATTGACCAATTTGTCTCTTTAATTACATTACCTGTATTCTTCTTTAATAAAAAAGTTAATATATCCATATCTTTTATTTCACTTATTTTGTCTGTCCAGTGGAGTTTTCCTGGTATTTCCTTCTGTTTCCACATTTTGGCGAAGACAATTCTGGCAGCTGTTGTCAAGTATACAAATAAAATGTCCTCGTTAGAGTCCAGTTTAATGTCATCATCTGTAATTCCCAGCAAGTAGTATTCAGCCTTTCTTGGGAAGTTCTTTTTGAATATTTTTTGCATTTCTTCGTGTATTATTTTCCAATATTTTTGAGTTTCTCTACAGCTCCACCATAGATGAAAAAAAGTCCCTTCATGTTCATTACATTTCCAGCAATTTTTCGATACATTCTTATACATGCAATTTAATTTTACTGGAGTCATGTACTACCTATGGAGTCAATACTCCTGACCTCACGATTGTGGAAAAAAGAAAAGTATGGATCATTGATTTTACAATCCCAGATGACAGCAGGATTGACGAGAAGCAACCGGAAAAGCTTGCATGATATGAGGATTTAAAGATAGGACTGTAAAGACTCCCAGTGATCCCAGTGATGATCAGCACACTGGGTGCAGTGCCCAATTACCTTGGCGTGCACCTAAAAACAATCAGCACTAACAAAATTACCATCTGTCAGCTGCAAAAGGCCACCCTACACAGATCTGCACGCATTATTCACCAATACATCACACAGTCCTAGACACTTGGGAAATACAGAAGTCAGCATAGTAATCTTGTTTGCTGTGTACTAATCTTGTTATGTATAAATAATAATAATAATAATAATAATAATAATAATAATAATAATAATAATAATATTGTATTTGTATCTCGCCACCATCTCCCAAAAGGGACTTGGGGCAGCTTACAAAAGCACAAAGTACTGCAGCAGAATACACAAGGTACAATAAAATACATAAACATTTATAAAACAATAACCATGTCAAGAACATAAAACAGAAAACAGATTTCCAAGTGATCAAAGCACATGCACATTATTAGGAGATTCAAAAAGGAAAATAGCATAGAATTAGCCTTGTAAGGATACTGTAATAGTACATGTAAATGGGGCTGATGAAAATGTTTTTCATGATTATAACTAATTACAGGGATTTTATTTCTATTTTTATAGACAGCACAAACATTTTGTAGACAAGTCACGGTGGTGTCTTAAACTCTAAGACTGTCACCCCTGTGAAGGAAGACACTGAGGGCCAAAGATGGGATACAGAAAATAATATGAAAGTGAAACAACACATGAAGTGAGGCTATCATAGTTCAGGCACATTTTTGCTGAGCAAGCATTTGACAAAGAAGCACAAATGCATGAAAAGAGAAAGAAGGAGAAATGCAGAAATAGGACTGAATTTGAGAACTGAAAGAGTTTGGAAACACTTTCACTCATATAAAATGAAGTAGAAAGATGCACTAAATTCCTTGCTAATACTTTACTTGGCTTATCTCAGCACCAGCTGCTTTCAATATGCATCCTTTGCATCTCACTTAAACATGTCTTTGCCAAATGAATGAGAAAACTGCACAGAGGAAAAACTGGTGGAAGCACAATGGACTCTTCAAAAGCCCTTCATTGCCACCAAGAATGCTGTAATACATAATTTTAGTTCTTGTCAAATACATTTGTCCAGAAAGCATTCCCATTGGTTAGTTATTTATTTCGTATCAAAAGCATTGCATAAATTAGGATAAAACCTAATGGTAACTAAGGTTTTAAACATAAGGTTTTAAATTCTTTGTGTTGTTGTTTATATGTAAGTTATATTAATTGTACTGTTTTATTTGCTTGCTGTTTTGTTTGTACTGATATGTTGTTGGGCTTGGCCTCATGTAAGCCACCCCGAGTCCCCTTGGGGAGATGGTGGTGGGGTATAAAGTATTATTATTAT